GTAGTAATGAGTGCTGTCAGGAAATCTTCCTGATCTGATTGTAGTATTGTGTGTGTTGTTCTTCCACACTCAATGAGGAAGTGTTGTAGCTGTGTGACTGCAAAGTCGAAGAGCATCCTCTTGTCGGTCAATTGTATTGCCACGATCATCCCTGATTGGATGTCAATTGCTGTGAGGATTGGATGTACCTTGTTGTCATCGAAGCCTTTGATGTAGCCGAAGTCGAGTTGTATGATTGGAAGCTTGCTGTGCTGTTTTGGGTGATTGTTTTGTCTGCCTCTCGGTTGTACGCATATCGGACATTTCCTGTAAGGGAGGTGTGTAACATTGTGCTCCAAAATCTCCTGTGGTGTAGGTTGCTTGGGTGCCTGTACTGCTTTTGCTCTTGTGCCTTGTTGTTGTTCTTCATCATCTGACTCGAGCTGTGTTGGGAACTCCTGATGTTCCTCAAAGTTTGTCCAGCCTGTCCAAGGCTTGTCAGATGTCTTTGCTGGCTGTGTTGTCCATTCATCTTCTATCAATCTTGTGTGTTGTCTTTCTCCTCCAACTGGTTGTACCTTGGTCTGTCTCCAAGGTAAGAGTCGTTTGATGTCTGGCCCGTCGTGTGTCTGCTCTGGTATGTAAAACGCTGTTCTAGGCTCAACATGTACTCTCTTCCAGTATGGGCCTTCTCTGTACCAGTAGTCTCCTCCAGGGTGTACCTCTGAAGGATGTGGAAGTCCTTGTCCAGCTGCGCCTTTGGTGGTGTGTGGCGCAGGTGTGTCCTGAACTGTTGGTGGTGTTGTTTTCTCTCTAAGCCGTGTGCGCGGTTTGTACTGAATCACTTGCGGTGTCACCCTCTGTGGTGCACTTTTTGGCTGTGTCTTTGTTGCAAGCTGTTGCTGTATTGCCTCTGGCAATGTTGTGCCTTTCTTGATCCTGAATGTTGTCTCTCCTTTCCACATTTGTGGTTGTGCTTTGTTTGGCGCTTCCATTGTTTGATACTTGTCTTCAAACGTGTTCGCTGTACCATCCTTGAGTCTGATGGTTGTTTTCCTGTAGTCCTCAAGTTGTTCTGCTGGGACTGGACACTGTGTTCTCGAAGGTGTGAAGAGTGTCTTTCTGTGTTGCCTGTGTACTCTGACAAGTTCACCTTGTGTATTGAACTGCCAGTAATCTCCTGCATATCCTGTGTCTGCAGGACCTTGTGGTGTCAGTGTTGTGGTCGGTGCTATCATGCCGATCTGTCCTTGGTCCGTGTTGTGTATCTGTAGCTTTGTTCCTTTTGGCAATGCTGTGATTTCTGCTTGTAGGAAGAACAGGCCGTTTCTGCTCTCCAGTGTGCTGTTGAATCCTTTGATGTGATGTAGCTTTGGATTGTCATCCAATGTAAGTTGGAAACCTTGTTCCACCAGCCTTGTAACTGAAAGAATCGGCTGTTTAACCTCACAAACGTAAAATGGTATGACAATTTGTTGTCCGCTGTGATTTGTCGCGCAGACCCATCTGTACCCCTAAAGCTCGATGTGCTGGTTGGTCACTGTTCTGAGTTGTGGTCCTGTTCCATGTGCAAGCTGGTGTAGTGGAAAGTGTGGTGCAAACCATGGTGGGCATACATGTGTAGCCGCACCGCTGTCAATCATAAGACTGACCCACTTGTTGTCTTCTGAGGGTTGTTGTGCTGTGCCAATCATGGCAATTGTTACTTCTTGTCATCCTGAGATGGGTACTGCTAATGGATCCGCCATTTGTGGTGGCTGTGGAAATGCTAGTTGTTGCATGTGTGTCTGATCCTGGTGGTACCAGTTGTTGTCATAGTGTGACTGACTGTACCAGTCATCTGTCTGGTCATTGGTGTCGAAGTTGCCAGTATCGCAGTTGTAGATCGCCACTCTGCATTGTTTGGCCATGTGTCCTGGTTGTCCACATCTGTAGGAAACATTTGTTGCTTGCTTTCCTTTTGATCCTTTTCCTCCTTGTTGGTTGTTGTAGTATCCTTTTCCTTTTCCTTTGTTGTTGTATCCTTTTCCTTTGGAGTATCCTTGTTGTCCTTTCAAAGGATTTCCTTGTCCAACCGGTTGTTGATTGTACTTACCTTTTCCTCCTTTGTAGTTGTTGTATCCGAAGTTGTTGCCGTAGCCGCCGTAGCCTTTGCCTTTGTTGTGTTTTCCTTTGCCTTTGTGCTTGCCCTTCTTTCCTTTTCCTTTGTTGTACCATGTTGCTCCTATGTCCATTGGTGCCGGTCCTTGATTGCTGTTGCTGCCTGATGTGATTGACTGTAGTCTGGTGAATGACGCTGTTGCTCTGTAGTACTCGATCACCATCGATCTGATCTGTGCGTATGTTGCGATGTTTCCTGCTTGTAGCTGCAAATGCTGCTGTAGTGGTCCTTTTGTTTCATTGAGTAGCACTGCGATTTTGATTGCATCTGGTAGTAGTGTGTTGTTGTCTTGTTCGTATCTTGAGAGTTGGAACTCCCATGTTGTAAAGCTCTCTTCGAACTTCTATCAAGTTGTGGTTTGAGCAGCTTTGTAAGGTATCCAACGCTCCTTGTACCAAGAGGTATGGAGTACCTTGCATGTATAAGCCGCCACGTTTCGAATCCGTTGCCTTGCATGTTTTGTCTGCAGATTGTAGATGCTGGTCCATCGCATGTGCTCACTAGGATGTAGTGCAAGTTGTTGCTCAGTTGTATCCATTGCTCTGCAACTTGTTGTGAAGGTGCTGCATTCTCAAGTTGGTCATTTGTGACTGCTCCTGTTGATAGCTCTGACTGTCTAAGCAGTCTGTTGTAGTCTGGGTCTTGTAGTCCCAGGTATGCTGTCATCTTGTACTTCCATTCTTCGAAGGTGTTGTATTCTCCACTGAAGCGTGGTGGTGATATCTTGTACTTGTGGATTCCTTCTAGCTGCTGCTGTTGTGGTTGCTGATCTTGTTGTTGTGCCATGTTACTCACTACTGTGTACCTCAACCTGTGAGTGCGTGTTGGAGCTCACCCTGGGTAGTGTGGTAGGATCGTGTACCAGGGATCACTGCTCCGCTACCATGTTAAAGTTGGATTGATGTTGTAAATACCTGAAGACCTGTGTGTGACAGCGCGGCACTGTTGTTTCCAGGAGGCAAGCTGCAGCTCTACTGTATGTAGGCTCAAGGCCTTGATCATACAGATGTGCAAGGGCATGTACAAGAGGGGATGTATATTAACAACATATGATGTATATATATAAGATTTGTATATATATGCATACATATATATATATATGTAGAAAGTGTATGTATGTACACTTGAAACTTGTAGCACACTCATGGCCAATTCTATGTGTTACTTTGGCAAACTGAACAAACAATATATTAAGCATATTGTATGTATTCTGCAGCCCTAGCCCAAACTCATGTTTGCAGGTTAAGCCTCAACTAGTCTTAATCACTCCTGCCGGCATAACACCCACCAAGTCACGACCTGCGGATACATCGGTGCTGGAGTATAGGGTTATACGCAAGTGAAGCAAACAACTGGTGTGTAAGACGAATTTGCCTGGAATTTTGCTCATGAGTTTCGCTACTTTGGCTCATGTTGCATGGGTCTCGGGGCTTTGTCCTAAGGGGATTGAGCAGACCCGAGCAAAGTTGATAAACTATGAGCACAACTGTGATCAAATATGAGCAAAACTACGAGTGCGGAGCCCTTCCCTCCCACGTAAAAGACATGCAGTAAAGTCCCATTGCTTCAAGAGTGTGACCTGCGAACTTCGACTGAGGCAAAATATTATCGGAATGATGTCGCATTTAAGCTACCAAGGTCTGGATCAGTAGAAAATCGTTCTAATAAAATATCAGTATCATAATGGGCTTAGGCTTGCAAAGTTCACCTACTCGCCCCACGCGCCCCATTTTACGCACCACTCGCATCACTTGCTCCACACATTCCACACGCTCCACTTGCTTCAATCGCTTCGCTAACCCCCTTGCCCCTTACTCTATTCGCCTTACATGATCCGCTCGCCCCACTCGACCCACTCAGCCAGTTCGCCCCACTCGGCCCACTCGATCCAAACCCCCCGCTTTCTCGACCTACTCGACCCACTCGACCTACTCGACCCACTCAACCTACTCGGCCCCCGTTGCACGCCCCGTTCGCCCGGCTATCGCTCGCCTCCTTCGACTTGGAGCAAGCGGGGTGAGCGGGGCATTTGGGACAAGTGAAGCAAATGCGGCATGTGGGGCAAGTGGGGCGGCGGGGCAAGTAGGGCAAGTGGGGCAATTGGGGCAAGTGGGGCAAACCAATAATTCCCGCGCCCACCCTCCAGATACTCTGGCATTCCAAGCGCCGAGCTTTGAAACGTCTACCCGCCCAAAGTGCGCAAAGGGTTGCGCGAGCGAAGTGGAAAGCATGAAAAACACCGAGTTTTGACAGGTCTATACCCGCCCAAAGTGCGCAGAGGGTTGCGCAAGCGAAGTGGAAAGCATGAAAAACACCGAGTTTTTAGAGGTCTAGCCGGCCAAAGTAAGCAGAGAGCTCACCGATCGAGCCCGCAAACCCACGGCAGAGAAGACTGCCCGCAAAATGGACGCCAAGCGTCCATGGCACGGGAGGGGAGGGGGGGGGGGGGGGGGTCTTAAAAATTGATGTTTTTCAATCTGTTCGGCTCAAATAATTGAAAAAATCAATCTTTCGGCATTTGAGCCCCTTACCTTGCTTACGCAAGGAGAAACTTCAGCTAGCTAAAGCAAGCTTTCGTGATAACCCACTGGACGGAGACTTGTAACCGGGTTTCTGCACCGGGCTTACTGTACAACCACTTACTAAGTACCCTGCCCCTGTAACTATCCTCCCTGTCCCCCATCCTCCAATATCATGAACCTATGCGGGGCTATGGGGGGGAGCTTTCCCTGGAAAGCTCTAGGACAAGCCACGGATCAGCCCCAGGCAAGGGGGTCATTCGGGAGTTACGTGCCCCCTCCCCACGAACTGCGCCCCTACATGGTCCATCCCCTCCCCAGGTTTTCTCGGGCCCGTCTGCCTTCGCTTCCGCCGCCGGGGTTCCCGCGGGCAGAGCCTGCCAAAAAAATGAGACACTTAGAATCAACCACGCCCGTATGCAATTGCGCATGTGTGTGTATGTGCATTCATGTTTACATGTCTATGCGCGTGTGTACATATGTCACTAGAACGTACTATGTACCTATATACATATAAATAGTATCCCTTCTCCCTATCAATCAATGCACCCTACCAAGACATATAGTGTTTTTTTCACCGGATCCCTACTACTATTCTAATAAACACATTCTAATCCAATACTGAACTGCCTGACTCCCTGCCAAATCCGAGACCAGTCTTAGCATACTCCGGACCGAAGCTTCCATTGGCACGATACTAGACAGACTTGATAGAAGCAAGGTCTTGCCTTCCTCTTGAACATGTGTACTTCAACTAAGTGACGATATAACAATTTCGAACCTTTTCCATGCTTGTCCCTTCAAAGCTTGTACCACTCCATGTTTGCAAAGTTACGGTTTGCATGGGCCTATTTCAAGGGATGAGCTCTGGAGCCCATCTGACCCCTGATTGCCCGTTTCATAATCTTGTTTGGCCACCAGTTATATTTAATGAGAAGCGATCACTGCTATAAACATGTATGTATATGTGTACATATATTTAGTGCACGGTTTATCTCCACACCCTGTGAGCCTCTACAGCACAACACGGGAACCGTCTTTCCTTCCGGAGGTTCTTCTTGAACGAGGAACCATCTCTTCCGGGGAACCCTCTAGATGAGTGGAGGGCTGTAATGTCTGAATGTATCCATCACGGGTCAACGTTCTGAAGGTGTTAAAATCTTGCTGGTGTTCAGCAGGGAATACGGGAATGACCCTTATGAACCATTGGTGGCTTCCTTGAAGGGAATCCCCGGGTTCATTGCCACATTCCCTAGCCCAAGGGCAAGGCCAAGCCTCCGGAACATCGCTCGGCGGCTCTTTGACCTCAATTCTGGCGCGGGATTCCCATGGCCCAACGGGGGATTTCGACGCCCCTGCACCTTTTTGGTTAGGAACCCACCCTCCGCTTCTCCCTCAATTTCAATCTGACCATCTCAACCCTTGCAAACGCCCAGCCCTTGTTTTTCCTCCAAATAAGATCCACCCAACGCCTTCTTCATCAATCAAGGCCAAAGCTAACTTTCCTATTGTTTTAAGATGTTAGTTCTGACCATCTGGGTCACTCCCTTGCCATCTGGCCACCGAATTGCCAGCCGCGTCCTCGACTTCGTCGTGGAACCAAACGGAGATCAGCTGCCGCTTGTGAAAAGCATACTCCTTAGCTTACTTGCCAGTGTCTCTCCTCCCCATTCGGGACAACCTGGAAGAGGACCGTAGCCACAGTGGGAACCTCCCAATGGCTCTAAAGGGAAAAGCACCTTGGTTGTTGGCAGTTCAAAGGCCCTTGCTCAAATATGCGTACCCCACTAAACACAGTTTGATGCAATGACCCCTTTCGAAAACAAACGCATCCCTTTTGGCAGGCAGGGTTGGGAACATCCATGTTTGTTGGTGGAAGGAATTCTCTTCACTGGATGCCCTGGAGTCTGAACCAACTTTGTCAGAAATCTGCACATAGGCAGATTTCAACAGAAGTTCGCCAAGTCGCCTTCAAATTGTGTTGGTGATTGCTCCCCGCTCAGCGCCCATCTCTATGTTGCAACAAGTCAATGGCATCGTCCAAGCAAACGGCTGCCAGGAAAGCGTCGGGGGCTGAGCTCACTCGCTTCGTAACCCCTTGTATGTCAGCAAACTCATGGGCTGTTGTTTTGTCGCCCCGCCACAACCAATAAACAAACCACAACAGGTGTCAAACAACTGCCAGAAACAGGGGTTCGGAAATGGGGGGTCTGGAACATGAGCACATAAACATCATAACTTCCTGTAAGTATCCTGCTGGAAAAATCTAAAGCGACAGGTCGTTTAGCACAGTGGTGCATGCGGCAGTTTATTTCTAAAACTTGTGTTTCTCTCTGAACCAGGCTGACAAGACCTGACAAGGGTACCCTCGGAAATAATAATAATAATAATAAACGCTACACCCCTGGCTACTCCGTTGTTGTGCCTTCTCATTGCTCATTGACACAAGGACTTCAGCGTTCAAAGAGTGGCGTGTGTCTTCTTTGTGTGGTCAGAGTACCAAGCGTACCTATATATTCATAACCATACTTTTCAGGCCATGCTCAGCAATAGACTGACCCCAAACAATTCGGTGTTCCTATTGTTTTCCATTTAAAAAAAAGCTGACAAGGGTACCCTCAAATATCCAGTTGCTTTGGAAAGTCAACCCAATCCCCGAATTTCCGCCACGTCTCCCGGAGCACCCCATCCTCCTTGGCCATCCGGATCGAAGCCTTCCTGCAAGCGAATTCCAGGGGTCACCCCCCTCCCGATGAAAGTAGGCACAATGACATCCATGTTGTCATCCCCCTTGTCCACATCCACCCGGAACTCTGCCATCTACCTTTCCCTGGTGTGCTAAAGGGCTCTAGTTTGCAGTCTCCTCTTTTCAGGGCATGGTTTGTTCAGCCCAACATGTGGACACAATACATCTGAAGTCCGTGCTTCGATGAGGGTATTGCTTCTCTCGGGGGGTTGGCACACTTAGAGTCCATTTGGGGGTGTCTTTGACCAGGGAACCCGCAAAAATGGAGGCTTTCCCTTGGGTTGTTCATCTAAAGCCACCCCTTTCGCCCCTTTAAAAAAGCAACCTCATTAGGCCCTCCCCCCTCAAAAAACGGGGGGGAAACCGGGGGTGGGGGGTGGGGGGGGGTCGATCTCGCTCGCGCCAAGGCGCCGCTCAAAGTTGGACCCGAAAATACTATCCCTGGAGCTGGTCTCCAGGCATTGCCGGAACAAGGGGCTGGACATGATGTCGAACCTCGGATCATGCGAAAGGAGAAACTTGAGAAACTTGATGTCGACCCGAAAGGTAGGATACCGTAAAGAGGTCCCCCAAGAGCCCTCCTTGAGGCTACCTTTCGTGACCCGCTGGAGCTGGAGCTGGCCATGAATTAGGAAGGCGGACCATACCTTGCTTGAGGGCAAGGTGAAGGGAAACAGAGCAAAAATATCATCGCCAACTCTGGGTACCTTGGGTGCCTGTATTTCCTCAACCGTGACGGAATGGCTGGCCACGCGGCAAACACACCACTGCGTAGGGCGGTCCAATCGGCCGGAAAGCTTCTGAGGTTCGTCTGTGCTAGGCACAGTCCCGACATTCCCACAGTGCGTTGCTGGTGCGTGCTTTATGCTTCCTAAGGTCTGCACAGTGACCACTCTACAATTGGAAACCCCTTCTTTCAGAACCCAGAAAATCCGGAAAATCGACGGAGGTCAGCTACACTTGGGCCTGGAAGTTGCAACACTAGTTGATGCATCCAACAGAGACAATGCATCATCAGAAACTCCAGGAAAGAATGTGCGCTCCATAGCAAAGGGAACCATTACAGCCTAACGGGCCTGACAGTGACTTGTCCTGACTAGTAACGTTGGCCCCATATATCCCCATATTAATCAACCCCAGTTTATTAATAGGCAAGTGTCTCTGGGTTTAGTGGGGAATCATCACTTATTGAAGGGGGCACTGGGGTTGATTCATTTGGGGTCAATTAGCGACTATTGGCGGCCATCAACCAAAAGCCACAACTGCCATTTGCTTAAGCCCCTGGAAAAAAAATATGGTAGTGCTGGATTCCCTTTAAAACCAACAGGGTAAACAATATTCTTAAGCAAATGGAAGATAACACTCCCATGGCTCCCACAACCGTAGGCCCTTGCAGCCCTGACCCTCGCGTAAAGGGCCAGCGTGGGATTTGCTCACTTGACCGCTGCTGGAGGGTATCCTTCTCGAGGATTGAAAGGGAAACCAAATGGAGAAAAATATTGGACCCCCCCCCCGTTTTGACACATACCTACATATGTCCGCCTGCAGCGAAGCCGCCAAATGGTCCAAATCACAAACTTCGGCAAGGCATTCCAGGCGCTCAGCTCTTCCTCGCTCATCCTTGGTCACCGAAACATGGTCTCGTCCACGGATTTTGCTGGGCAAAACATCTCACTTCCTGAGGGGGATTGACCCAAAGTCTGAACTTCTTGTTTGCCACTCAAATGCCGTTTCCCCAACAGTGTAGAGTTCGAGCACTCACTGGATGAGAAATGGACGGGATCCCGTCCCTTCATCTGCAACCCCTAGTGTGACAGTGCTACAAGGAAAATCTTCCAAAATCTGGTACAAGTGTTAAGGTCAAGGATCGATTCTTGCACAAGCCGGACAAGATGTGGCCCACGGATACTTGATTCCCATGCCCAATCGGGAAAGCCTGAGTCCCTAATTTCCTTGCATGCACACAGGTTGAACATGTATGGGGTTTATGGACAGTGCGCCCACCGCATATGTTCCGCACGTGATCCAGGTGGTGAACGCGATAGACCTGCTTGTTAAACCATTCGCCATGGTGTAGGGAATTGTGGCACGCATAGGACAGTCCTCAGTTTGAGCTTGCCATCCGCTCGAGATTTGGAGGAGGTGTCTTGAGGGCAGTGGTTCCCACGTAACTGGGCTGCCCTCAGATCCCCCACTAAAAGTTTAACTTTTATAGTTAAATGGAAACTACCACTAAACACTCAAAGGATCTAAAAAGCTCAGGCTGGGAGCCACCAAGGTAAGGCAGGCAGAGCGAGTGGCCGAGAGAAGGTGCGCAAAATGAAGTCCTGCATGACACCATCCACGCCTCACGGCACCCGATCCGATCGAAATTCTAGCACAAGCTATGCGAATCAAACTGCGGGTCATGTCTCCCTAGGAATAGGTCCATGAACCACCTGCAAGCCAAGCATGAACCAACAGGCCAAGGGGAGTTTTCACCAATGGCACGGCTCAGAGGAAGCCCTGACTGGGGCTTAAGGACAAAGAAACGCGACCGCCAAGGTCGAGGCTTGCTGTCGGAAAGCTGTGGCTCAAAAAGGTACCAAAACGGGTTGCCCTGGGAATTGGAAACATGGACCAAAACCTGCTGTTTGCCCCTCCGATTGTTTAATTTTGAGCCACACCCAAGTTGGAGCAGTTCGAGGAAATTCCCCCGCCTGCGGGCAGGCTGTGCTCCCCCACCAGCTCGGCTGGACTGCTGCCGCCAGCCTCCAGAACGCTGCGCTTGGCTCGGAGTGAATCCCTTGAGTCGGAATCGGGCTGATTCAAACACCAATTAGGTGTGTTTTGTTCTGGGGATCCCACAAACTGACGGTTTTCCTGTTGGTGTTCCGTTTATCTTAAAAGGAACCACAAACAAGGGGGTGCCCACAAGAGAAGACACACCCAACTCAACTGCAGTACAGCTTAAGGGGCTTACCATGCGCCCTTGGATCAGGCTACGCTTCACCTAATCTTTGGTAAGCCAAGGCCAATGACCCGCAGCTCCCCCGAGCTTCACAAGACTCTGAACAAAAAATTGTCTGCGTTTGTTTGTTTTTGGTGAGGCTAGCCTTTCCACCCTGATTCAAAGCGAAAGTTGTTCAGGAGATCCACTCGCTCGACCCCCTTTCACACATACCCATTGGAGGTTTTGGGGGTGCCCTTTGCAATCTTATCCTTAGCCCTTGCCAGCCCTCTCCGGGACGGGGTAACAAGCAATGCTTCGACAGTTCATACACCGGCCACCCCAAGAAGCACCTGACAGCGCCAGCCCCTCGCACTGACACGCACGTGCCATTGTATGTCGTGCTGATGACCCTTTTTGGCTTGATTGGAGGTGTCCCGGTGTTGTTTCCCATTGCCCCGCAAGACAGGGCTTACCCACGTCCAAGCCACGAATCCAAACCCACTAGGATTAGTTTGGCTTGTTTTGCTTAGTTTCTTTCGGAAACCCAAAGAAAACAACCAACCGGGCTCCAATTCGGAGTGAAATCCTCCGCAAAGCTCTCAGCGCGTGGCATGCGGGAGGCTTCGAAGTTTCAGCCCGGACCTCGGCTTTGAAGGTTTCAATCGACAGGACACTTAAAGGGGCGATCGGGTACTTGGTGCAGATGGTAAGCCTGGTCATCACCCATTTTACTATCCACTTACCATGGTAAGTGTTTTTTGTTTCTTTTTTTAAAGCAGGCTTACTAACCACTTACTAAGTACCCGATCGCCGCCTGAAGCATCCCCAGACCTGCACCTTCACTGGCGGGTGTGGGGTATGTGTGGAGTGGGGGGTTGTAAATCGAGGGCGAACCCCCCCTGCCAGTCCAAGGGGGCACAGAAGCTGATCAATTTGCCGGCGGGGCCATTGAAAGCTGCCACTTTTGGAGCTTCCGCAAGCGAAGTTGATCCTCAAGGGCTTTAGGGGCGTTATGTATCCAAATCGAACGACAATGACACATGTTCAGCTTCTAGCCGTTGGGCTCTGCTTGCAACTCTGGGGCCAAGTTTGGCTGGATTCCTGCACAATAGATTTTAACAGGACCCTACATGCCGATAAGGGGTAATCTCAAAGCGCCTCAAGAGCCTGCTGCGTGCCAACATACGGGTTACTTGAACTTGCCAAGTACTAATATCCATCCATTTTGCCAGAAAAGATCACCAACGCAACCAAGTCTCAACTGATTTGATGAGGGGAAATCCAATGTTGTTACTCCTCGAAGCGTTCTGTTTGTTTCCTTGGAGCATCGGGCTATTGAGGTCTCGCTTGTGACTAGAGTCAGGAGATCACTCGGCATTCCTGCAGAGGGGAAATCGCAGAAACTACTGTGGATGGACGAAATCCTGCCCCACCTTAAAAAAATCCTGCAGTTGCTTCCCCTGTAAATACCAACAAACAATGATTTGTTATGGTTTCAAAGTGGTGCAGGATTTCGTCCACCCACAGTATGTCGCAAATCGCAACAAATTCCTCAGTTGTTCAGTGACCCTGGAAAAAGAAGGGAGCCCTTTTTGTGGAAGACTAGTTTTAGTGGGGCTACCAAAAAAAGAAAAAGAATGGGTGCCACTGAACAACTGAGAGTTATGTCGCACATCTTCCAAGCTGCAAGGCTCGAATGTCGGGGTCGTGCAGAAAGATCTTCTCGCGCACGAATTCGGTCTGGCCATCGTTCGCTCCGAGCCGCGCCCGACCCGATTCGTCCCCAGTGGCTGAGTTCGGCATTTCATCCGCTTCCCCGCTGGTGATTTGGAGACTTTCCTTTGGTTTCAAAAGAAAAACCGGGGTTCAAAAGGCCAATCCAAACCACCAATTGAGGGATAGCTGTGATTGTGAAGGAGTCTGCCTTTGGATCCCGACCGCGAACTAGTGATAACGATCAACCCTGCAAATGGCCAGAAAAACCGTAAACATCACCTCTATGGGATCATGCTTTCGATAGAGAAGAACTTCATTTCGACCCTAGCGAGCCGCCTGCCCAGACTCGACCCTAGCGAGCCGCCTGCCTCAAACCATGGTCAAGTCTGGTCAAGCTAGGCAGTGTGTTGCTGGAAATGTCGCACAATCTCTTGCAATTGTTTACCTATGAAAGTGGCCTGCCTGGGATCGAACATCACCTCAACCTTAACCTGGAGATCTGGGTTGGTCGCACTGGCCCTGAACAACGATCTGAGTTTGTTCCCTGCTGGCAGTACTTGATTCCGTTTGATTCCATTTACAAGTGCAGGGTAATCAAGCGAACCACCCTCGCAAAACTGGAAACATAATGCTTGGTTAGCTGGAATATTATAACGCAGCCTGATGCTTGCTATTCTCGGAGTTTGTTCCCTATCTGGCTTGCAGTGGCTTCAGCATTGCGTCTAACTAGATTCAAGGAGTTTTCCCATTTTGCCTTGCTCCTCCTGTAGTCTTGCCGCCGTCATGTCGAGGTCTGGCGGAAGTCTTCCTGTACTTTCATTAAAGGCTTTCCGGCAAGGCTTGTTTAATCAATCATTTGGTTGTCGGTGAATTGTCAAGTTTTGCAATCCGTTGGTTTGGCTGTGTCTTCGGGCAATGCGCCACTGATACTGCATCCCCTCATATCCCCTCAAAAGGAAGAGGGGAGGGGTCCCCCATCGCCATTCTCTAGCCTTCCCGGCAACAATGAAGACGGGTTCATACCAGGAATCCTGGGGTCACACGTTCCACACCCATTGGTCCCCCAATTCCAGCTTAGCATGTGTCAACATGGGGTGTCCCCAAAAAAGATTGGTTTCCCTGCTATATACTGGGTTGTCCTTTTAGTTCATTTGGTTAGAATATATTACGCCAGAAATGAACATCAACTCCTCCTTTTTGTTCATTGGTTCCTCCAGAAGTGATTGTTCCTTCCCCCCGGCCTCCTTAAAGGAGACGTAGCAACTGTTGCGCTTCCGGAGGAACCGCAAGCGCCGCGCCATGCGATCCTTCAGCCGTTCAGTCGTTGGGTCGATTGGAACAGCCCTTGAGACTCGATTGCCCAGGTTGGACCCAGAAATCTATTGTGATCACCTTTTAGGGGAAATGAACAATGGTTGCCAACAAAAGGAAATTAAAAGGTCAAATCCTGTCGAATGGCTTTGGGCAACGGAATTGCTATCAGTCTCTTCTATTGGGGAGGTTTTCCCGGATTATGCTGCAAATAAAGATGAAGAGATTGATCCAACCTCTACTCAGAACCAGCCTAGGAGAAACAGTGAAATCGAAGGTGATGGGCCTTAGGCCCAGAGCAGCTACCGGAATGGCAGCTGGGCACCATCATCTTCAGGAGGGCATCAAGGACTGTCAATAGCCAGGCCCACCCCCCGCCCCCCGCTGGCTCCAAACCAGCTTCATTTGTTGGATAAGCACAGGGGCATGGTTCCCCACAAATTGGAATGCCGTTTCCAGGGCGAACCAACGCCAAATTCAACATCGAGAACGCCGGAAATTCTACATGGTTTTGCCACGCTCAGTTCAAAGGGTTGGGTTCCAGGAAAATCTATATAGGACAACTGCTTAAATATTTGCAGCGTGTTGGGGCCATTTCCTATAGATTTTCCTCTAACCAAACCCTGTAATCCCAAAGAGAAATTCCTAGTCTCACAATTGGCCCCAGAGATGAGCCGGTTCCTGGACCTAAAACTTGGTCAATGTACACAAAAAGACGCATATGTGCTGGCTCGGTTTCATCATTGAACCCTACGAGGATACCAGAACATAACTAAAAACATTGGGAGGAGCCCAGGAAAAGGGGCATGCTTTCCGTCGGACAAATGCGTTCCAAAAAAAAGTAAAAAGTTCAGGGACTCCTGGTGGGAGCCTTGGTGTTGCAGGTAGCCACATGACCACAGACTCTTGCAGCAAAATGCAAGGCGTTCCTTGTGCCCCTGAACCCCGTACCTGCAATATGGGTATTTGTGAAAATAGGAGGGACCCTAAAAACCTTTTGGCTTCCCTTGAAACCAAAAGCAGCTCCCTCCAATTGGCGGTTTGGATTCGTTTGGATCTCAAGGGTGGCTTCCTATTTGCCCTCAACAACCAGCCGTTCAAATACCGAAACCACCAACCCCAACCACCAATTAGGGGTTATGACGGGCCCCACTCCAAGAGAGAATAACTCCCAAGGTCCATTTAGGTGTTGCGGGGTTACCTTAAAAAAACACTTAAAGGTGCAGGGTACTTAGTGCGTGGTTACGAAGCCTGGTGATAACCCACTTGGGAGACTTATAACCATGGTAAGTGGGTTACAACCAGGCTTGCGAACCACTTACTAAGTACAATGCCCCCAATACGTACCCTCAAAAAAGCATCGGCCCATAGGTTGTTTCGTGGTCTTGCAAGCCTAGGCACATCCATGTCGAAGGTTCGCATCACCTCCGCCCGCAAATCCGCGATGGTCGCCTTGGAAGTCCTCGAAGTAAAGGAAACGAAGGACCCCTCCGCCCACATCCATTGCTAGTCGCCTTCCCGTGGTCTTCTTTTTTGGCCTTTGAGCCACACTCAAGGGTGCCCACATCAGAACAACCATCCTTTGCGGGGTTCAAGCAGCCTACTGGAACATTGTGTTTTCAAAGACACCTTTTGATTGTTTCTTCTTAGTCAAAAGCAATGTTCACCCACGAGTAGAACCTGGCAAAGCATTCCTGCCTGAAACGAAGCATGACTTTTTGGGCAACCAAGCATCACAGGAAAAAAACACAAAACAACTTGAAAGCTTTCAGGTCAGTTCATTGTCAAGGGCCCCATCAAACCAACTCCCCCCCCGGCCTATACCTGTCATTTGGATTCTGTAGAAAAAGGCTCAAGCATCCCACCGGTGAGCAAAACCCTCTGCCCTCTCTCGTGCGGAGCCCGCCAAAGACCTCGCTGGCAAGGGCCAGAAGGCAAATCCAAGCCCGCCTTGGGTTTGTAAGGCCAAACAAAAACTCAACGGCGCTTCCTACCCTTTGAACGTCATCACTTCAAAAAGGCCTTTGTCAAGGTTGATGTTGGAAACCTCCAAAAGAAGCGCAGGGGCTCAAGCCCTACAAAGAGAATCCTACTGAGAATAATCTTCACAGCCGTTTTGCCAAGGTTCATGTTCACCTTCATCGCGGGTTGGTCAGGCGACCTCAGCATTGCTTCCCACCCGAAACCCGAAGCCGCCCCACTCCTGCCTTCCGTATGATGTCATTGTGACCCCAAAAAAGGAGTGGTTGGAAAGGTTCTTGATTGGGGAGCACGCACCCTTGAGGAATTCCGCTCGAAAACCACAATGCGTGGAAGGCCCTTGTAAACCAACAGCACCCATGTGCAAAGGAACCTCACCAGCATTCACAAGCCCCCAGTTGATTTCAATTGGGGGCTGCATTCGGGCTATTCGTCAGCTTTTGGTTTCATTGAGCATGCCCCTGTCAAGCCAAAGCAATCTAAGAAACTGGAGAACCTAAAGAAACCAACAGGTACACACTCAAGAAGGGAAGTGAGTGGTCTTCCTGGAAGCTCATGTTGCCTCAAGCCATCCGCTTGCGCTTCTTGTACTAAAAACTCAAGTTCGCATCTTCCGCTCCAGTCCGAGAGTTTCTATTTTTTGTTTGAAGAAAACAACATCTTTGGCAACATGACAGGCATTGGTATTGCCCTTCGGACTTGATGGGATCGAAGTAGCACCAAACTTCCGAATTCATAAGCTAGGAAAACCGCTGCAACCAGTGGCCCGGCGGCCCGCATGGTAGAACAAGAATTGGAGCGTTTGGAGGTTGAGCATCTTTACTGGGTCCCAAAGTGGCTGAGGGGGTGGCTGTGATTGAAGTGGATGGTTTGGTGCTGGTTTATGGTGGGGCTTCTTGGGGTTGGTCTCGGATGGGTTTAGGGCCGGTTTAGGGTGGGTTTAAAGTTGGCTGCGGTCGTGGTTGTGTTTATGGACTTAAACACAACCATGACCGCAGCCAACTTGAAACCCACCCTAAACCAGCCCTAAACCCATCCGAGACCAACCCCAAGAAGCCCCACCATAAACCAATAGCCTGGAACCCATCCGGAGCCAAGCCTGAGCCAACCAGGAACCCAACCCTAAACCCAGCCCTCCAAAGCCTGGTGATGCTGAGGATGTTGAAAACAATGCTGAGGATGTTAAAACGATGCCGGGCCTTAGCCTACCCTAAACGGACTACCCCAAACCTACCCTAAACCTACCCTGAACCCATTCCAAACCTTCGTCCTACCGAGGCGCCAACCAACCAACCAACCAACCAACCAACCAACCAACCAACCAACCAACCAACCAACCAACCAACCACCTACCAGGGTTAGCCCTGTGCCAGGGCTAGGCAAAAAGAAACACCCTTTCCTCCCAAAGTCACCAAACAAAAAGGATTTGAAGGGTGCCATTGTACAACTGGGAACGCACCCATTGTTGCTCGCAGCATATCTCTCCAGAACGGTAATCAACAAACCAACAAAACCAAACAATCGCTTTCCACTCCAACATCTTCACATTCTTCAAAACTAGTGCTTCGCCCACGAATAGCATGTACAGTACATGGTTAGGCTCCCTTTTTGAGGGATGGTTCGGCGATGGGCATGCAGCCCCCAGATTGGCATGATTGGCATGCAACCCCCAAAAGCAATGATTGCTTGGACATCTCCTTTTGCGGACTCCCTTTTTCGGGGGTCGTTGTGTTGCAGAGTGGGGGCAAAAAACGCTTTCCAGGCGGCTGCATGGACAGCAGCGACACGCAGAGCGGGGCACCTCGCCGACGGGGGCCGCCGAGTCGACGGGGGCCCCCGTGACCACGGGAGTTTAAAACCGGGTTCCGTCTCCCACAGTCCAGTTTGCATGTGCTGAATGGCACCATCTTCTCCAGCCTTCGGATGATCTAAGCAAAGCTTTTGTTGGGGGATCTGATCATCTAAGCAACGCCGATGATCGAGTGATGTTTAAACTGTCCCAAAATGGGTGTCTTTTTTGAGAGTACTCATTTTGTTCTAGATGTGCAGATGTGGTTCAAATTCAAACGGAAAACCAGCATCCAACAATTTGGATCCTTTAAGCCCCCTGGAAGTTCAAGCCTCAAACAACAGGTTTAGTTTTTTTTTTTTTTTTTTTTTTTTTAACATGCGTGGGGATTGCATGTCCAAAGGTCGCACCAAAAGTCACTGGATTACCCCTTCAAAAGTTGCAATTGACTGGTCGTTTCAGTTTTGGAGGCTCCAAAAAGGGAAATGGAGGATTCCCTGTCAACCCTCCCCTTGGCATGAGCCTTTGCGGACTGGCGCAGCCGGCAGCCTCAGCTGCTTGCAACTGAAAATGCCCCTTAACTTAAGGGGGGAGGGGGAGGGGGTGGGTTTAAGGGTCGCAAAGTCGATTTGCTTATAACTGCGACATCCATGGAATTCCAGTAGCCACCTCCCCCAGTTCCATGAGTAAGGGAGACGGGGTGGTTGAATGGGAAATCGCACATCAAAACACAGGCGTGCCTGGAGGTTTCCCTGCAAGCACCCTCCAATTTGTTTTTAACATCGTTAAATATGGTACCAAAAAGAGACTACCCCAACCTCCGCAAAGAATCAAAAGAGATCTAAACATCCATCTACCCTTTGCTTGCGGCTTAGGCTAAAACATGAAGGATGTGGTCCACTCCATATGGTTGCCGACTGGCATGGGCCTATGAGGGAGTTCCTGTTTTGGTATGCTCCTGTCTCCGAGACTTGTCCTTCAAGCCGCTGCACCGGGCCAATGCCGCGCCCATGGAGGTCCCGTCTTCTTCCCCTTCGAACACCACCCCACAAGAAGGAGCAAAGGTCACGACCGTTGCACCCACCAAACGGGGACACGGGGACACATGCCCAAATTACATTTGTGAGAGGCGTCCAGCAAATGAAGTTCCACAGCAACTTGGGGATACAAAGCAAGTGCACTTTCGACCGCAGGTCCTAGCTGTCGTTTCAAAGAACTAACAATTCCTGCGCCGACCCCTTCTCCTCAAGCTCCTGGTGCATTCATGTCCTGTGATGCACAGGAGTGAATCAAAGTCAGACTCCTGGTTCATTCATGTCTTTTGATGCACGGGAGTGAATCAAAGTCAGGCGGGAGTGCATCAAAGTCAGGCTTTGGACCTTTTCCCTCTTACAAAATGCAAAGCTGAATACCAGAATTTAGTCCGGAGGTAGGTGATTTGTGGTTTCGGAAGCGTGGATACCCTCCACGCTGTCGAGCAGCGCAGCCTCTTTCTTTGTCGGCTCCTGCCAAGGGATGTCTTGGCAGCTTCAAACTTCCCTTGGGGACTCTTTTGCCCTGCCCCCACACATCGAAGAAATGCCCGGTGTGATCCTTCCTTGATGCCTCCGTCAGGACTTCTTCGGTCTTTGCCGTAAGGCATTAATTCGCAACCGCAGTTTTTGGTTTTCCCTTTTTGTGCCACAAAAGGGGCCTGAAATATCGGGGGGGGGGGGGTTCTGATAATGGTCGGGTCATATCATGTTTTAGTGGTTTTCGCCAATCTCATTTAAAGGACCGCTTTTCCAAACCTTGTCGGCCTTGAAGGGGGGCCCTTTACTAATCAGGGGTAACCATTACCGAAGCACTTCGAATATCTCTTTCATTTGCTTTGCTGGCAAATCATATCTGCCCTAGTCCAAGCAACCCTGTCTGTCATCCTAATCTAGGCAATCTTTTGTTTGGATTACACGCAGATCTTCGGCCAAGTAAACAAGGAGGGACGAGAATGCCGGTGGACAGCTGGACACTATCGCGCAAAAACAACTAGGCCGCCTCCTTGTGCAATTCATTCGCGTTTGGCCCAAGCAGCTGAGCCCCATTCGAATTTTACAGCAAGCCTAGCCGAGTCTGGACGTGGCTGTTGTCCCCGCCAGCATCTCGATCGCCCCAAGTCACCACTGTGTCATCATCTAAAACGGCCGCAAAGGCAAAGTCCGTTGCCCTGAGCTGCTGGACTCTAGTCAATTGCTGCTGCACCGTGCTGCTATCTCCAGCATGTTCCGGGTCGCCCCACGACACCACCGTGCCATCCTCTTTGATGGCAGCAAAAGCTGCCATGGTCGCTTCGATCTGCCGGACGTCATGAAGCGGTTGAAGATGTCTGCTGTCCCCTCCATGACTCGAAGGGCCCCAAGTGATCACCTTGCCATGCTTCACCGCCGCAAAAGCGCGCTCGTTGCCGCAGATCCACTGGACTCCTGTCAGTAGCCTTCGCACCAGCCTACTGTCCCCCCCGGAGCTCCGATGGCCCCACGTCACGCAGCTGCCATCCTCTTTGATGGCAGCGAAGGCGTAGTGAGTCGCGTGGATCTGTCGGACCTGCGTAAGCTGCTCTTCCACATGACGGCAATCGCCGCCATATTCGGCGTCACCCCAGGCAATCACAGTCCCAGACTCCAACAAAGCAGCAAAGGCGAAGCGACTCGCTGCGATGCGCTGAACATTTTTGAGTCTCCTCTGCACAGGGCGGCTGTCACCGCCACACGCTGCATCGCCCCAGGTTATCACTGTGCCATCAACTAAAACGGCAGGAAAAGCTGCTTCACTAGCTTGCATCTGCTGTACGCATGTCAGTTGCTCTTGCACCGAGCTGCTGTCGCCGCCAAAGTCTGGATCCCCCCATGTCACCACCGATCCGTCGTGCTTAACGGCAGCAAAGGCATGCCTATTTGCCTGGATTTTCTGGACACAGGTCAGCTGTGCTTGCACCTGCGAGCAGTCACCACCGCGACTTGGATCACCCCAACTTGCCACCGAGCCATCCCCCAACACAGCTGCAAAGGCTGCCCCAGTTCCCTGGACCTGCTGCACACACCTCAGTTGCACCTGGCTGCTGTCTCCCCCAGCCTGGGGGTTGCCCCACGTCACCACGCTGTCCCCACCAACAGTCCACGCAGCAAAGGCTTCCGCGGTCGCCGCCAGCTCCACTCCGTGCGCGACCGCGTGCACCACGTCCCCATCTCGCACGCCCGCCTCGCCCAAGGTCGACCATGTCGACAGCGGGCGGCCAGCGAACAGCAGCCGCAAGCGGCGCCCAAAGTGGCGTTGCGCGGCCAACTTCAGGTCAGCAACTGAGCACGACGCCGGGAACTCTCCAAAAAAGCCACTGCCGCTTGGCAGGCACACTGTTACTTGCATAGTTGGTCAAAAGAACTACTTGCGATGATCAAGTGTAAGCCTGAGGAACCATATTCTATCTCCTTCTGCTTGCTTCTGGCTGGGCAAGCTTGCGCTGCAGCAAACAGAACACAGCGGGCCTATGCCAGTGCTTAAGCAAAGAAATGTGTTAGCGGAGCACTGCATGCCCCCATCCCTCGGCTACAAAGGCAAAAGTGCGGCACAAGATGCACAATATTGGCGCTTGCTTCATTTTGAGCCACCGGCTAAGAATGCAATATGATCTTAACTCTACCCCACGGATGTATGGACCTGTATCAGTGTCGTACCCGTGGGTAGGGCGGCCTAACAAGTCCAAACTTTTGCTCATAATTGAATATTGTTTTGCCCCAAGTAGTAAGTTCAGACAGTTGGGACCCCATGCATGGCACATTATGTTGCATCATCAAGTGCTGACTACGACCAAGACAATGGGACCAAAGGGCACAAATGGAGCGTGCAGAAAGGCTTGCAAGCATCGCTAGGAAAGCCTTCTATTTCTTCACTTATACATCAAATGTCAAGCTGGGCCTACCTGTCCAATGGACGCATTTGCGGGGTCTTGTGCTAACCAGTTTCTCACTTGAAATCCTTCATCCCGATTGAGCAACTCCAATCAAAGCATTTTCTTCGGTGCCTCCCAAATTTATTTTCCAGCTTCCTGCCAAGGCCCGCCCCACAGTCTGACAGGGATCCCCAGAAGTGAGTTATCTGCCTTTGCCCATCTCCCGCCTGCGCTGTCAGTGCGGCTTCTGCTGCTTTCACTTTGATCTGCTTTGGGTCTGGGCTTGGCTTCGGCTCTGGGCTCAGTTTCGCCTCTGGGCTCGGCTTCAGCTCTGGGCTCAGCTTCGCCTCTGGGCTTGGCATCTCTGGGCTCGGCTTTGCCTCTGGGATGAGCTTGGGCTCTGGGCTAGGCTTCGCTTCTGGGCTCGGCAGCTTTGGGCTCGGCTTCAGCTCTGGGCTCGGCTTCGCCTCTGAGCTCTGCTTCAGCTCTGGGCTCAGATTTGCCTCTGGGATGAGCTTGGGCTCTGGGCTAGGCTTCGCTTCTGGGCTCGGCAGCCCTGGGCTCGGCTTCAGCTCTGGGCTCAGCTTCGCCTCTGGGCTCGGCTGCAGCTCTGGGCTCAGCTTTGCCTCTGGGATGAGCTTGGGCTCTGGGCTAGGCTTCGCTTCTGGGCTCAGCCCTGAACTCGGCTTCAGCTCTGGGCTCGGCTGCAGCTCTGGGCTCAGCTTTGCCTCTGGGATGAGCTTGGGCTCTGGGCTAGGCTTCACTTCTGGGCTCGGCAGCTTTGGGCTTGGCTTCAGCTCTGGGCTCGGCTTCGCGCTAGGCTTCGATTCTGGGCTCGGCAGCTCTGGGCTCGGCTGCAGCTCTGGGCTCAGCGTGGGCTCTGGGCTCAGCTTCGGCTCGTGTGGCTCCTTAGGACTTGACGATTGAAAGAACTTGCCCGTGCAAGGCGTTGCCAAGCTTCAAGGCTCACGAAATCTCACGAATGCCGGACCTTGAGCCTGGCTGAGGCTGCATAAGGATTGCACTCCGTGTTTGCTGGAGATACAAAAATAAACAGGACTAGCAAAAGGGAAAGTTGCGCTTTGTGGCCCCGGGGTGACTATAAGCAAGCCAGGCTTCTATTTGTTTCCCCCCTGCCAAGAGCAAACCCACGTTGTTTTCGGAATGTGGGAAGCCAAGAGAGGGTGAGAGAGAGCCAGAGGGAGACAAAGAGAGAGAGGCAGAGAGGGCGACCGAGAGATTTGTATATACACACACGCCAGACTGCAATCAAAGCGATTTGTAAGGCCACAAAAAGGAAAACATGGAACGCCATGTTTTGCATATTGAAAGTCAACCCCTGCCGGCAGGTTATTAGAGGTTGGAGGTGTTTACAAAGCCAGAAGAGGAATGTTTGCTGGAACCTGAGAACTCTGTGAGCAAGCAGCTGTGGTGCAAGTGTCCACTTCTCCCGGCAGTGGCTTCTCCTCAGCCGGCCGGCGAAAGCAGTAACTGGAAGTGGATCGGATCAATTCGCGCTTAACCAATTCATCCCCAAAAAGCAAGGATGCTCCCCACGCGAAGATGATGCTCATCTGGAGTGGGGGTATAAGACAACGCAAAAATGTCAACCTCTTCAGCTCTTGACCTTCATGAAGAGGCCCTCGCAAACCCAAAGCCCTTGAAGAAGTCGCCATTGCTCATGGTTTCATGCTCACTTTGCCTTGCAGATTCCCATTTATCAATGCACCGTACTACTTTTTCCGAGGCCCCTGAAAGGCACAGAACGCCTAGGGGAAAGGAATTATATATTGTGTGGTCCCTTCAGGTGGAGGGATCCGGGTCGACCCCCCGAATCAGGCCCATCTAGCTGCTCAAACGGACAATGGAATCCAGTAGGAGTTTAGGGTAAAGTCTATTGACGCCTGAAGGGAATGCAACCCTCTGGACTTGGGGCTGGCTTTTTGCAAGGGTGTGGAGGTTGTATACGGGCTACATCCTGGCTTCAAGCTCTTATTGCAGATCTTGAGAGGCTTCCCTTTTGAGAACACTTGCCCGTATGCTCACTTCATGAGTTGAACTACTTACGAGGAAGATCACAGCGGGTCCAATGGATATTTTTTTCTTGGCCTATCTAAGGAAGAGAGGTCACACTTTAAGGGCGGTTTTTGATGATAGCTTTTCCTTCCCTTCCAAACAAACAGATTGGGATTGGTGGTTTGGTGGCACCCTCCAAATCTTTGTCGTCGGTTCCGCACTCATGGAATCTGAATCGCCCCGAAGTAATTTTACACAGATCACCTGTCGCTGGCAATCTAAGGGCTTTCAGATTCGGAAAGCTCAAAGCAGAAGACCCTGCAACATCGCAGTTGCCTTGCTCACCCACGAGGCTTCAGCACTCACATGCAAGCCGCTGAAGCCGTCCGCTGGATAGCCTCCGGCTTCTCTTCAGGCGGCTGCCAGGGTTCCGGCGCAGTTGCCTGCCGGGCAGAAGATGGATTTGCTTCCAGCATGGCCGGTTCTTGTCTGAAGGAATGCCCAAATAATATTCATCTGGTGACTTGCTTCTGGAAAATAAGAATGGACAATCATAGCTAGACAATGATCAAACCTGCCTTGTTCTGCCTCAGTCAAGCAAGCACATAGTTTATATAAGCACTCACGTACACATGTACAAAGTGAAGCTTCAACGCGCGCTCGTGAGGTGATTGGGCCAGGGACGGACCAAACTGATTGCCATTCAATTAATCCATCTTGACCAGGCCTTAGTCATTTCCGGCAAGAAACTCGCCAACTGGGTGGTTCTCAAGTGTCCAGAAAAGCTAGAAAATAACAGGTTAACCATTTGCTGGTTAGCTGGTTAACCTTTTGGGACCTCTACCAACAGCCCAAAGCAAATCGCCCTTTTAACATGTTGTTTCCCCGTTTTGGTCTATGTTTCTTTTGTCAAGCTTCCAAACTGTGAGCGAAATACTTTCAGGCCCTTTGGGCAAGTGAGCTGTAGTTCGTGGCTGGATTAAAATACCGAGCTAGGTAGTCACATAGAGAATCTGGACAAAAGGCAACTACCCCTCTCTACCTCCTTTTGAGCAAATTACACGTTTTGGGCTACACTCTGTCCAACAATCGAAGTGGACGAATGGCCCTTGCCAAAGGACCTTTCAAAAGGATACCTTTGTTGAACCCCTCTGTCAGATTCCATGTTCGGGTAACATGCGGCAAAATCCCAGAGCTCCAGTGGATTTGCCATGGGAAAAAGGCAACGCTTGTTCCGTTCAAGGTGGCCCCCCTCCCAAAACTAAGGCCACGTGATACTGCCAGCTGGGGAACACAACTCCGGATTTCCAGCGGTTCCAGTTTTCGTGATGATGATGGGGTGACCCAACCTGTCTCAGGGTTGAGGGACACAGAAAGTAAGAAACGCCCGCGGCGCCAGAAGGCACACGTGGTAAGACATCTCGTCAACCAAGGAGAACCCACAAAAACCCAATTTACCTGGGAAAAGGGCAGTCCGAGAAGAAAACAACAACCTCGAGACCGCGAGAGGCCTCCGCTTCTGCCAGCACCAAGGTCTCAAACCACGAGAGAAGCGACGCTGCCTGCCAGGGCCCGCTTGCGGGCTGTGGCAGCAGGCTGAAAGCTTTGTGTCACCCGACTGGGCCTTTTCAAGATGGTTACCACTAAAATGGGCAAATTGTTTGTTTACAGGTCCCCTGATTGGTCAAAAAAGGCCAAATTGCTTGTTTACCACTAAAATGGCCTTCTTGAAAAGTATAAAGTCCAAGAACTCAGGAAGGGAGCAAAGTGCCCCAAGAAACACCAACAACATTCCCGAATCAGCAGTGACCAACAGCAAATTGCTAGTTAACACGAGCACTTTCCTTTGGCCCTTTTGGTGGACCCTTTGTGCAGGCTTACTGTGTATTTTCTGGATTCCCGAATCCTAATCTGCAATCCCTGGAGCACCACTACAATACAACAATCGAAGCCACCATCTGATGAAGGATTCAGCTAAGAGCACAAGAATGCACGGTCCCCCTGGCATTGCAAAAACTGCCACGTACGCTTGCCGAGTAAACATTCCGGGAGTAACTTCTACAAGGCTCGCTGGAAGCGCTTGGTGCCGCAGTCACGCGTCCCCGCCTCGTCTTGGTCGGGCTTTGCGACCTGAATTGGGAGCTGAGCCCGGGAGGGGGCGCTCACTCATGTTGTTGTATCTGCGTTCTACGGGTGGCTGTGGGTTTTGGCACAGCCGGTTGGCATGGTTAGGCAGCTCCCCGCAAAGGCCATGGGACGAAATTGAATGGGGACGTCGACCATTTAACATCCTTGCCACGCTGCATTGGGGCAAGTATCACCTGGGCTGTTCTCAGATCCCGCGCTAAAAGCGAACAACTTTTAGTGGGTTAAATGGAAACTACCACTAAACACTAAAAGGATCTAAAAAGCTAAGGAACCGGATGGCTGGGAGCCACCAAGTCACCAATTCATGAATTCATGAGCTGGGCGGCTGACAGGACACTCCGGCAGCTCCAGGGACGGGGTGATCTGGGGTTCTAGAAACAGCTGAATGAAGAGGGGGAAGCTTCCCAACCTCTAGGACCTAAAATCGTCACGGTTCCAGTGGGGTGCCCTATTGTTCAACCAGGCGGGAAAGGGACAATGCCAAAAGAAGGGGAAGATATTCGACCGAGCCCAAACCGGCAAACATACAGGGTTCAACACTTTCCTGTGCCTATAGCTTCTCCACCTTCAGCAAAAACGGGTAAAGGGTACATTAGGCCAGTCAACAAGCACACAACCCAGCTCATTTGAAGGATCCAAATCCTCTGGTAAAGCATGGGCTTTTGACTCTCATTTACTGTCCTGAAGGGATGACATTGGCAGAGTTACACTCGCCAAATTGTGATTCGGACATGGGGGTTGCCCAATAAAATCCACTGCGCAAGTCGGAAACACAATGAATATTGACCGTGTTCAGCTCCTTTGCTCACTCTGCCCGGCTTCTCCCGGCCTGAGCATTTGGTCCTGTTGGCTGAGCCTCGAAGGAACAACTCAAGCACCCACTTGTTTGCGTGTTCAGTGCCACAAAACCTGCAGACTGTACGCGGGGGACCCAATCATTTTCGGACACCCTCCGGAGTTTGTAAGAAGTGATGTGTGGAATGGCAAAACTGGGAGAACATATATCCTATATCCATGAACAATGGCCTGCCCAAGCGCTCACAAAATGGCCAACGCCAATCAACCGCAAACCTTGGTAGAAAAACGGAACTTGTTTTTAGTTTAACTTGTAGTGGGGAACACACCAGGACCAAAACAAAAGCGGAGACAAAGGGTAAGGGTGCCACCGAGAATCCGGGATTTCGTGTGAGGTTGCGAAGCAACACACGACCGTCCCTATTTGCTGTATTTGCCTAAACTGTGCATGCCCTCCAGGATCCAGGTAGGATACACAATCTGCTTTAGCAGCTTCCAGTTGTTTGGTTGTTTGGGTTGGTGGTTTGGTGGTTTGGTGGCTCAGGGATTGTTTCCCACTTACCCCTCTACAAAAGCCAGAGGTTCAACTCCAAATCCAAACCACCCATCCAAACTAACCAACTCGGAGTAACCCGACTTTAGGTTAGGTGGTCCTCTGAATCAGCTGGTGGCTCAAATGTTTCTTCTACTCTGTTTGTGGCATGTTCGTCAGGGGGACAGCGATTCACGGGATCATCCTGCTTGTTCTGTTTGGGAAAACCCCAGTTGGCTGTGTGTCTCAATCCAGGGTAGCCGCCGCAATTTTGGAAAAATGGAAGGGTTCTCTTTGGTTTCTCTTTAAGCCAACCCCGAGAAAGCATGTAGTGAACAGCAATCAGTTGACATACCCAAGCATGCTTCAACCAGGGAATGGCTTGGCCACACTTTGCTTCTCAGTCCTAACTCTTGGCCCCAGATCAATCAACCCCTGTTTAATACTGGGGTGCGGGCCCCTCCAAAAGTGGCCTGAATCCAACGAAAAGCAACCCCCATTGACAAGCTGGGGTTGATTCATATGAGGTCGACATTACCTGTGACCTAAAAAACAAATCTAACCACATTTCACCCAGGGAAAAACACACCCTATTAATGAGCTGGGGTTGATTCATATGAGGTCGACATTACCTGTGACCTAAAAACAAATCTAACCACATTTCACCCAGGGAAAAACACACCCTATTAATGAGCTGGGGTTGATTCATATGAGGTCGACATTACCTGCGACCTAAAAACAAATCTAACCACATTTCACCCAGGGAAAAACACACCCTATTAATGAGCTGGGGTTGATTCATATGAGGTCGACATTACCTGTGACCTAAAAAACAAATCTAACCACATTTCACCCAGGGAAAAACACACCCTATTAATGAGCTGGGGTTGATTCATATGAGGTCGACATTACCTGTGACCTAAAAACAAATCTAACCACATTTCACCCAGGGAAAAACACACCCTATTAATTAATGAGCTGGGGTTGATTCATATGAGGTCGACATTGCCTGTGACCTAAAAAAACAAATCTAACCACATTTCACCCAGGGAAAAACGCCCCCTATTAATAAGCTGGGGTTGATTCATATGAGGTCGACATTACCCGTGACCTAAAAAACAAATCTAACCACATTTCACCCAGGGAACAACGCCCCCTATTAATAAGCTGGGGTTGATTCATATGAGGTCGACATTACCTGTGACCTAAAAAACAAATCTAACCACATTTCACCCAGGGAAAAACGACCCCTATTAATAAGCTGGGGTTGATTCATATGAGGTCGACATTACCTGTGACCTAAAAAACAAATCTAACAACATTTCACCCAGGGAAAAACGACCCCTATTAATAAGCTGGGGTTGATTCATATGAGGTCGACATTACCTGTGACCTACAAACAACAACGCCCTATTAACAAACTGGGGTCGATTAATATGAGGTCAACATCACCTATGACCTATGAGGTCAAAACAAACAAAACGAGACACACCTACATCAAGCCCAGTGGCGCTTTGGTCCTCAGCCTCGCCAGTTGCATCCGCAGCAACGCAAATCGGCTCTCCAGGCTCGCTTCTCACCTCGTGGCACGAAGCAGTAGTTCGAAGAAGCACCAAGTCTACCCTCAGTGGTTTGGATGGGGTTCCCTCTCCCTCCCCCCCAGCCCTCATGAGGTTTGGAATTTGAATCCCGGCTTTTGAAACATGAAGGGGCAGACGACGAGAACCTTTTTTCAGTTGGGTTGGCCACTTTTAGCAGGGAACCCACTAAACACAGAAGGACAATGGGCGCCACTGAACATGTGGACATTCATCGTGTTCCGGCGTGGCATTGAAATCTGGTGAGCAGCCCTTGTGTTTTCTGACGCTGCTGGTACAAGTAAATATTGACGTATGCCCACCCCCAACTGGGCAAAACACACCACCACCGCGAAGCAAGATTTCTCTTGCACCCACATTCCGACAAAAAAGCATCCTTTACTAAGTGGGTGATCTACCTAGCCCATTTTGCATGGCACAAGGTCAAAGGGCTCACAAGGAGTTTGTTGTTTTTTTGAATATTATGTTGGGGGTTTCAGGGATTTCATGTTCAGAGTTGACCCTGCCTTCAAAGACCAGAAACCCTAGCTGCTGGATCGCGGCATCCCCCCAGCCCACCGCACCTCCGCCTCAGGCCCCGCGGCACTCGAGTCGGTGACGTCTAGTACCACCTCCCTCATGTCGCTGACCACCTGGCACTCGGCGTCCCTGCTTCCATTAAAGGCATCCTTGAAATTACACCTCTGGTGGTTTTGTAGGCAAAGGCTCTTACTTCTGAGAGCTTCTGAGAGCTGGGCGCTGGGAGTCTCGGATCCCTAATCCCAATCCTCAGTGCATAGTTGAAAACATGTTGAAAACCACAACCAGGGTAATCACCACCATTTGGCAGATGGGTGAAGGCCAAAATTTCACCAACCCATCCTAAGAAACGGAAGCTTCCCACCGCTGACTTTCTAGACTAATCTAATGATTGTGGTGGCCCTCTTGCTGCTTGTTGGGCGGGTTCGGCATGCCTCCAAAAAGAAACTTCGGGGAGGCCGAAACAGAGTTCCGTTGCCTGACTCAGACCAAGACCAGCGCCAACGGCCAAATCAAGATTTAAGACACCCCGCTTGCCCCGTGATGGAAAACGAGAACGCGGGCTTGACCATGCTCAGCGGGGAACCAAACGACAAGGAAACGGGCCCCCGGCGGTCGCCTTGGGACGACTTTCGGCCTCTGCCAGGCCTCAGGAAGATCGCTCCTCCATTATTCTGCATGGGTTTGTCTCAAAATCGGGGGAACCCCCCCAAAACACTGTGCTCGATTCACCGGGTTTCACTTCAGGACCCAACAAAAACGGGATCCTTCCCCTCAAAAGAGTCAGCCCATGGCTCGAGGAAAGGGGGCCTTTCCTCAGTTGTTCAGTGACCCTGGAAAAACGGGAAAAGAAGGGAGCCCTTTTTGCGGAAGACCGTTTTTAGTGGGGCAGCCACAAAAAAAAGGAAAAAGGAGTGGTGCCACTGAACAACTGAGTTTCCTGTTGGAAATTTCAAACGGTGCCAGGCCGAGGCACGTTGCTCCATAGCTCTCAGCTGCGCCCGCAGCTGAGCGTTCTCTTCTTCCAGCTCGGAGAGTCCCGGCCGAGAGGATCCGTGCCTAGGATTTACCCGAGCCATGTTCCTAAGTTTGGGGCTCCCGGAATTCCTGCCCAAGTAGTTTTGGAAGATGTTAGAGGGGGGTGAAGCCCGGAAATCGTTAAGAAATCCATTTGCCTGGTGTGATTCCATTCCCCCTTCAAGGGCTAGATTTGGAGAAAGTCAAACCGTTTCACCCACTTGCCACCATCTTTGGTCATCAGGCCGCTCAACCCCGTGACCCGAGCCCGGTTCTCCACAAACGGGGAACAAGACCAACGATTCTCTTCATTTTTGGGTTTGTGGCAAGACAATCGCGGAACGCCGGGAACGCTGACCGGCAATGTGTGGTCAAGAAGGACGCTGGTGCCCACTCGCTTCACAGCCAAAGTCTTCCTCGGAAGCCGGAAGAAAGCTGTCCGAAGCCCACCTATATCCGGCTTCTCAGTTGCCACTAGATATCCAAAGGAACCCTTTACAAAAGACAGAAACACCTGGTAACCTGCACCAAAATGAAAGTAGACGGCACAGCCCATGAAAAATGTCGGTACTGGGGGTGACTAAGCCAACATGGGTTGGAATCGTGCCATCAACTTTCACCGCACTGTACGTTAGGAACCATTCAACCTTTCGGCGGCTCCTCTGTGGCTCGGAATGAACACGGGCAACTCCTTGCTGGTGCTCAGTTGGGAATGAGGCAATGCGCCTATAAACCATTCCTTGTGGTTGTTCCTTTTCGGGGAATCCCAAAACGGTTCATTGCCAACACCTGGAAGGCAAGGCGCCGAGCGCCGTGCGCGGAGCACCGATTTGATGCTTCATGATCCACCAACAGCAAGCGCCCAGGGTGGAGCACAAGCTCCTGGCAGGCACGCAGCCGGGCTGTCCCAAAGCTTGTCAACCTTGAGGGGGCGTGCTGGTTTACTAATCCGCTTGCACCATGATGGATGTTTCTAGTGGTCCCCTTTTTGGATGGTGGAATTTAAAAGGACACTGCATTCCCTAGTTTTGAGAATCCCCATACCCGCAAAAGGAAACTCAAATTTGTTGAGTGACGCTTGAAGCCAAAAGGGAAACCTCTTGGACGAACTCGGTACAGTCCACCTGGACTATTGCCAAGCACTAAATTCTGCTGGCAAGATGTGCCAACTTGGCTGATATGAACATGTTGCTGTTGGGAAGTCTCTGGCACACTCGTCAGAAACCTCTACTTCCCTGCTGACTTGTGGTTGGATGTGTGGTTTGGAAGTTGCGGGGGTGGTCTTATTCACCCGCAAGAGCCAGGGCTGGCAAATTCGTGGGAAGCCTGCTTGGCTTCTCATACAAAAAGATGCTGCCCAATTTGTCCTAGATTTGGAATATGCCAATTTCAGACAAAATACTGACCTAGCGATGTTCTACCAATGTTCCTCCCACCCCAAATCGAGTCGTAGTAGGGGAGCGTTTAGGACCAATACCAAACCAATACACTACTCGAGCAACATCAACGATTTCCCCCCGTTTGGGCGAGTGTCGAAAAGCACTGCCCGGCGCTGAGGCGACAGGTGTGGTGGCAACGTGCTCTGCCCCGGGCGCTATAGGTGCAAAGGGAACACCGTGCGCGGGACGGCCTCCACCTTGCTGCTGCTCAGCTGCAAGCGTAGCCCGTGCCCAGCTGCATCAGCACTCCCATCGCTCTTGTCCATGTTGACAGTGACTAGGTACCGCGCACCCGGGACTGCAGGCAGTTGACGCTACGTCACTGTTTGCTGGCTCCACCTGGTGCACGCCCAGCATCGCACCTGTGCTCCTTGCAGAGGCAGGCCTGGGTTGGCGCCCGCAGGTGCTCCGCCGCCTCAAGCAAATGTCGAATGTGCAGCCAAGCCAACATGCCGCCAAATCGGACCCGTCAGGCGCCGCCTGCTTGCTGCAAAAGTTTCACAGCTGACGCGCCCCTTGAGTCTTTTTCCTGCACTCGCTGGCCACTGACCTGGCCATAAACGCGTCGCGGCACCAGTGGCAGCCACTCGTGTCTGTGCCCTTTGCTCACACGCGGGTCGGGACTTCGACCCCCTGGGCCGCCACGACCGCCATCCTCGCGCACGAACTTTCGTTCAGCCGCGCGGGGCGCTCTCCGTCCGTGCTCTCCGGCGTGCGCTTGAACGACTGTGCTCGCCCCGCTGCGTGACATGACAGGGGGCAACAAAGCAAAGGAAGATGAAAGTGTACCGCCCTACCTTGCCCTTGAGCATTGGCAGGGTGGGGTAGGCTGTTGCAGGGAATGCGTCCGCCAGGAACACTCACCGCGTGTAGCAGTACTCGGCGCCATAGGGCAGAATTACAAGCACGCAAGACCTCCAGCCAAACACAAAGTTGAAAGTCAAAATAGCCAAGTGCAAACGTACTTGCTGAGCATTTTCTCGTTTCCCCTTGATACATGGACAATTTCCGCCAGGAACCCCCGCAGGTAACGGTGCCTTTTTGTTTAATAAGGCTGGTGTGTGTTTGTTCTCCCCCGAGGGCTGGTTTTCTGCAGGGCTGGCAACATCCCCAGCATCACCAGCGGACCTGGGTTATCTATTGGCTCTGATTGGCTGGCAGTTGAAAGTTGCAGGGCTTGGGCGTTGCTGCTGGGGGCTGATTAAGTGAGTTGTGGGCGAATTTTGGTGGTTTGGGGCATGTTTGGGGCAACGCTCCAAAACTGATTCTAAACGAGACCAACACCCGAAAGCAACCCTAAAGCTGCTGCTAGTTTAGCAGCAGCACACCCAAACCCACTCAAAGTCAACCCCAAACCCGCCCAACAGCAGAGCCCTTCGCTTCGCCTAAATCGAACCGAAACCACCCCAAGACGAACCCTGATGAAGATCGAAGCCAGCCAAAAGCCCACCTAACTTAAACCATTCCCAAGTAACTCCCAACTGCCACGACATCAGAGCCAATAGACGGCCCGCTGGTGATGCCGGGGATGCGGCCAGCCAACCAACCAACCAACCCCAACCAGGCGACCAGCCCTAGCCGAAAAAAAACAGCCCTAAGGAAAAAGCACCGTGTCCGACCCCCCCCCACCCAAAAAAAATGAGAGAGAGAGTGTGGTTTCCATTGACTTACAGTAGTAGCGGCAGCCTCAGACAAACAACCCATTTGCAAAAACCCAAAACCAGCCAACAGTCTCAGGTAGGGATTCGGACCCCAAAATAGTGGTTGTCCTTTTGAAGGCATTGGTGTCCTTTTCAACTTACCCAAACCATTTGGAGGGTTGGGTGCCAAAAAGGGGCTCTGGACAAGTCTAGAAACAATCTACCTTTTGGGGAATGACAGCTTATGTGTTAGGTACAAGTGTCCTTTGAAGTGGTAACCTTTCTCACGTACATAAGGGCTAAACAATTAGAATGGGGTTGTGCACTGTAAAACGAGCGTATCTCATGACCCTCTGAGAATCATTCGGCTGTGGCTCACAAAAAACGGTGCCCAAATCAACCCTGGTAAGTGGAAACATGGATCAACACCTGCGTAACCCCTACTGTTTAATTTTGAGCCACACCCATTTGTGTGTGTAACTCCATTTCCCGTATGTTGCCTTTTCGGCTGCGTGTCCAAATGCGCAAATGCGGGATGCGCGCGGCTCCCGCCTCCACTGCGCCGAAGACGGCGCCCAGCGTCTCGCCGTCGCGCAGGGGGGTGAAGCCATCGCCGTGGCGGCAGAGCAGCGTCAGGTCGGGCAAGTCCAGCCTCCATTGAGATGACCCCAAACTCAGTTGCCCCTTCTGGGGACCTGGAACTACAAGCTGATCACCTTACCTGGGGCCATGACTATGGTTGCCAAAATGGGAACACCATGTTGTGTTGAAAGCTCGGCTTTGAACAAATGAGCAAAAGGTGCTTAGCCTCTTCATGCCGAAGTAAGCTTCCAGTCGCGGTTTGGGTCCCTGGAACCAGTGAGAAAATATGGCCGGCAGTGATAGATTCCGTTCAAAAGTCAAACATATTCTTGGGCAGATGGAAGTAATGGTGTGTCTTGTTTTGGGGGATCCCCTTGCACTAGTTTTGTGGTTTTAAGTTAAAGCCACCGAAAAAGGAGTATGGCTTCAAAAAAGGAGCGCCTCCGAAAAAGGGGGGTGTTCCCTCCAAAAGTGATGAATCCCGACAAGGGGACACCCCCTACTAATCAACCAGGGAGCTGTCAACCTGAGGCCAACGTTACTGCCACAATGGTTTGGCAACCAGGAAGCCTGAATCAGGCCCCCAGACACGCAGTGGATTCCCTCCAAAAAAGAATTGGCCCTTTTTGTTTTGATGGAAATCAAAGCGAACCCGTGCCAAGAAAATGAAAAAGGAAAGGTCCCACAGGGATACGGTTTCAAATACTTGCAACACTTCGGGGATACGTTTTGTTCAACAAAGTCCTTGTCGGCCAGACGAGCCATAGGCAAAACCGGCGAGCAGCAAATCACAACCCCTAAGGGGTGCTTTCATGTGGCGCACCGTTAACCTCGAAACCACAGCAAGCGAAACCACAAATCCTGGTTGCTGTTGACCCCTCTGCAAAAAGTTGAACGTCATGTGGGCGTGGCCGCTCAAGGGGTGTGCAAGGCTACAGGTTGGGGCACGTACCTATTCCTGCCGGTTTTGAAGCGAGCTCACCTGGAGGGAACGAGGGGCAGCCATGATGAAGGTCCTTCACTTCAGTCTTCCCAATTTTTGCCAACGTTTTGTAGCCGCGTATATTTTTGCCAGCATAGAAAGGTGAAAGTGGCAAATGGGATTGTCTCTTGATTTAACGGAGGTTTTCTGTGGATCCGTTGCAGAGGTTGGGTGTTGGTTCTATTTTGGAGTGTGTTGAGCGTGGGTGCAGGGTGGGTGCCGAGCTCGTTGTGGGTGGAATTGCTGTAGCTTTAGTATGGGCGGTTTGCTGTGGGTTTAGGGTGTGTCTGTGTGTGTGGGGTTAGTTTACAGTGGGCTATGATTGTTCTTTGCAGCCACTCCCAACACATGAACATATCTCACAAAGCAAACAATCTTAAGAATTGCCATGAAAAAGAACAGTGAAGCTAAGCGTGCCAGCCCTCAATGTTCATGTAGTCTTCCCCCCAAAACTGGTTTCTTGCAAAATTAAATGTGACTAGGCAGAAGCAAAACCCATGCCAAGAAAAGTACAATGGCGATTCGGTAGTGGGTTAGCCCTCTCCCGCTCTAGAGTGGTTTCAACTACCCCTAAACCACTACCCCAGAAGTGAAGAGATATTCAACCACGAGGTAGTCACAATATATGAAGGGCATATCGGTATATACAGCCTGTGCTCCCCATTTTCGGGTGGTTTGGGGGTAGTGGTTTGGCCATCTTCTTCCATTTGCTTCAAGCCCGTAAAAAAATCCTTTAGTCATAAAATCCCTTAAAGTTTAAGCCACTTCCTTTGCTGGAGTCCCCTGAAAAAAAACGCACACGCACATCCTGTGGTGATAAATATCCCCTTAAACACCAACAGGGGACATACTGCACCCAAGAAACCCAGGAATGATGATTCCCCTGTAAATACCAACCAACAATGGTTTCCATTGGTTTCAAACTGGTGCGAAATGGATTTCGTCCATCCACAGTAACACACATATTCTTCAGCCAATGGCAGTCGCCAGATCCGCCGGACTCGATCGCCGGACTTGCCACGGAGCTGATGTTGAGCTGCCGCCCGCAGCTGCGCAGCAGTGCTGTGCCACGTGAGCGGCTTCCTTGGGCAGACCGGCAACTTGGAATGGAACCTGCACACATGTGTACATACCGTATTTGTATTCGATTGAAAATGCAGACCCTCCATTTGCTTAAGTCCGGTGGGAAAAATAAAAAGAATGCATATTTCCAGTCGTGATAGATTCCCATTAAAACCAACAGGGGAAAATATTCTTAACCAAATGGAAGAGACTGATGCAGGTGCACATATACAGCTATATTTATAGTAGACGTGTGTTTTGGTCATTCTGGATAAGGGGAGGAAGCCCCGCCCTCATTCGGATCAAGAAGCCTTGTGTCCGACGTGAAAAACAATTTTTGATCGGGGGACCGGGGACTCGCATCCTGGAAACTCTCAGGTGGGGCCGCGGGCCCAAATAAGTAGTAAGCAAAAAAGGTTCTTGAATACATCTAAAACCACCTGCTTAAGGGGTTGTTCTAAATCAGCAGATTCTTAATCTAGCCTACATGGAAGCAGTTTTCGAGGGCACCCCGAACATGGTGTTTTCGAAAGACTTGGTTGCAAGGAAAACAACATTGGCCCATGACGCTTCATCTACCTTGATAGAAAGCTCCAAACATAAGGGTCCTCCTGGGCTTAGCCCGCTCGAGGCCTAAGGGGCTTGCGATGCAGCTTGTGACCCGCACCATCCTCCAATTTAGCAGCCGGTTGCTTCCCATGCCTGTGCTCCAAAATGCATCCTTGCGAAGGTGAGGGGAATTCTAAATAAATTTCTGGGAACAAGCTGAAGGTTAAAGATACATCCTACCATGTCCTTACAAAACTCCTGCTAGCTCCTGAAGGCTCCCTCTTAGGCAAATTTGGATACCCTAGCTCCCAGCTCCTTGGCTCTCTTCCAACCACACTAGCATCCAAATCGCACAGGTCCGGAGCCACCAAGTAAATACTGCGGAAAACAAGTTGAAGATTGAAGATACCGTGATTAGAGTTCGGCCCAGTTCTAGAATGTATATTTTATTGTTTGCTTCACATGAAGTCTCTGGCAAATGGAAAATGTATCCTAAGTTTACCCCAGATACATCCACCTCGCAGTCAAACCTTCTGCTTAGATCGCCGAAGCGCCGATCCAATCCGATCCAATCCGATCCAATCCGAGGCTCAGCAGCTGGGCCGCCCTGAGCTCCGCCTGGCAACGGCCACCCTGAGCCCCACCCCAAGCGAAGAGCAGCAGAAAGCTGAGGAAAACGCACGGAGAAATTGGGAAAAAGCCGAAATGCGGAAACCAAAAGCTGAAAATGCCAGACTACAGCTAAAAAAACAAAAGCTGAAAATGCAAAAGCTGAATTGGACAAACCAAAAGCTGAGGATGCGAATCGATCACTTCGTCCCATCCATTTCGCCCAAGTCGATCCCAGCCTGTCGACTTGCGGACCTCGCGTCAGGCAGCGTGAAACAAATTTCGAGAACAAAAACATGGGTGGATCACGAAAGGTCCCCAATCATCAGGGAACTCTTAATTAGTGGTGTCGATTGGTGGGTTGGGAATTTGAACCCCTGGCTCTCGTAAATGGGAAATCACCCCTTCACCACCCAACCACCAATCCAAACCACCAATTGAAGGGAAGCTGAAATCTGAGATGACGAATCCGCAAGATAAAGATGTCTCCATATCGTCCAGACCTGTGACCGGAAAGCTGCACACTTTTTTGGGGGTATCAGTTGCCCAACTGCACAAACACAAGATCAACCAAGCACACCACAGCCGCACCTGCCCAAAGGACCCACACATTTCAAGGTGGGCCGCTCAATCTCTGACTAGGGAAAGCGTCACAAGGACCTCAAAACGGTCCACCCGCTTTGGGCAAGGCGCTTCCTCAGCAAGGTTCCGAAGCATTGAAATGATGAAATCGACCATCTGAGAGAGATTGCTTAACTCGCCGCAACTCCTGAAACCTCTGGCTTCCCTTTGAAACCAGCCCAGGTGTTGGAGATCCATACATCCCGTTCCAACGGGTGCCTGGGCGGACACCAACCCACCAGTACATGTGGTAGGTACATGTCATTTTTTCGTTGAGGGCATACACATGATTGATCCCCGGCCCGAATTTGTGCATCAGGTCCCCAAGAATCTATAGTGACCCCAAACACGACTAAAAAACAGAAAACAACAGGGGCAAATGAACAGGGCTGCTCCCAAGACAGCAGAGTAGAACTGTCGGTCCTGGATTTCTTTTCAAGGAAGCCAAATGACAACTTGGCCATGTTCGAGTTTGATCATCTTTTCGGGACCCCGGCAACCCACGGTCAATACTTTGGATGGACAAACCGCTACAGTAGTTGCAGTGGGCTTGGAAATCCTAGACATACTGGCTGATGAACCAATCCCAGATCAATGGTTGAGGATGGGGTTGTGGGGCCCATACATCAAAACCGAACTTCATCATGCGCAGGAGTAAGCTAGTTTTCATTTTGGTCCTTGTGGCATATTTCCTCTGGTGGCATTAAACATCATATGTTTACCTCTACTGACCCTCAAAGCCCTCAGCTGCCGGCAAACCAGCCACGCGCCACGAAACTGCAACATCGGGGCAAATTGGGGGGGGAGGGGAGTTTCCCCCAAAAAAACAGAGCACGTGGTCAAAACCTGGGCAAATTCGGGGATTATCCGAAAACATTGCAAAATCCTTGGAGCATTCGGGGTTTCCTCGTTCATTTTGCCATCCACCGGGGCATCCGAAAAAAACACTCTCCCAGCCTCTCGCGCTCGGAGCTTGAGCCCGGCTCCTAGAGGATTTGTGTAGGAGTCAGCGAAAGGACACAGTGATCTCAGTTGCCCCTTAGGGACCTGGAACCAAAAGGTGATCACCTTTTGAGGCCATGACTAAATATGGACCAAAATGGGGAAACCAAAAGGTCAAAAGGTCGGCTTTGAACAAATGAGTGGTATGAACCCCTTGAATGAAATGAACATTGGAATACACGTGAAAGAGTAGCGAACAATGTTTGTTCAACAATTGCATAAAAAATATGAAAGCCAACTTGTGCTCATGGGAGGGAGACAGAGTGCGTGGGCTGGATAAAATCAAAAAAGTATTCGTTTTTGTGTCTTTCTTTCACGGAAACTGACCAGGCATAAGCAATGTGTCCAACAACTGTCCAAAAAACACATTTGCAAGCGAATTACCTAAATCAGTTGGTAAATGCAATTTCTGACTGCCCTTGTACTGAGAACCTTGGAACAGAGTTGAGCCGCTGAGTTTGGGTAATTTAGCAAATTCATGTACACCACTTCTGAGGTTGCCCCTCTTGCAATTCATAGCATTCAGTTTGATTAGCCACAAGCCATTCCCAAGTCCCCTTACGACCCCCGTGTCCAGGGACAGAAAAGTGGAAGTTGATGTTAAAGGGAACCCCCGTCCCTTTCGAGGTCTTGAAGGAAACGCCCCACGAGGTGTTCGCAAGGGTTCTTTTCCTCGTCGCCGGCCCACGTGGAGCCCGAACTCTGCACCGGCGCAGTGCCTGGGATGGAATCCCCGAGTGGGCCAAAATGAAAGGCACATCCTTTCCAATCAGAACAACAAGGAAAACAAGAGGCAAGCGCCACATGGTGGCGCTGAACATCAGGCCAACAACAACTCTATATATATATATATAGATATGTGCCCCCATGTCCAAACCAGGTGCCATATATATACACATTTCTATGTGCATACATTTATGTATACACATATATATATATATGAGGGACACGGGGGCTCAGAAAATGTGAACCACAATTTCTGCGCAAGCTAGAATTATCCAGTGTCATCCTAGGTAAACAACTCAGTTCACATAACTGCAATCGCCACAGGTGAGGAGCATTTAGGGACCCTGTTTGACCGCTCAGGGTTTCCTCCACCTCCAAAAGTGACAATTTCAATGGACACCACCAGTAAACTCGCAACTTTTAAGGGGAAATCCAGTGACCCCTGTTGACCTCCAGTGTTTGAGGGTGTCGAATGGAATATCCGACCTGTTTGGTCCATTACCACATAGCCATAAATGCAAGGGCTCATTCTGTGGAACCTCCAAGGGTGGCGATTGTTTCAGTGGAAGCCAAGGGGAAATCCAGTGACCCCTGTTGACCTCCAGTGTTTGAGGGTGTCCAATGGAATATCCGACCTGTTTGGTCCGTTACCAAATAGCCATAAATGCAAGGGCTCATTCTGTGGAACCTCTGAAAGTGGCGATTGTTTCAGTGGAAACCACCAGCCAATTGATCAACGTTTGAAGGGGAAAACCGGAAATTCCAGTGACCCCCGTTGACCCTCCAGTTTTGGAGGGTGTCATTTTTTTGGGGGTACCGCAGGGGAAATCCAGTGACCCCGCGACCGGCGGCCGGAGATCTGGTGACCCTCTCGACTCCGAGCTGCAGATCTCCTCGGCGGAGCCGTCCGAGCCCTCGGATTCCGAGTCGGTGTCCATGGCAAAGCACTGCCTTGGACGAAGAAATTGTGGGTGTGTCTTCTTTCTATGGATTCGGAAGCCCCAAAATGGCCCTGGGAAAAAGCATGGGTGTGTGTGTGTGTGTGCTTGTTTTGTTGGGATTCGATCTTTCGGGATGAAAGATGTCAGCAACTCCCCGCCCCCAAATTTTTATTTATTTTTTTTCAGCGCCTCCCCCCTTCGCCAACAAAGCTGCACTGTTGACTCCGGCTTCGGAAGCGGCGCCCGCTCCTCAGGAGCAAGCAAGGCAAGCGCTTGCGCCAGTGGTCCGGCGGGTAATTGGCAAGGTCCATTTTGCTTGTTTGTTCGTTGGTGAGTGGTCATCCCCTGCTCGTCGATTGCTCGTTCCTTAAAGTCAACACGGCCGTGTCTAGAGTGTCTAGAGGATTAGCCAAGGACAAGCCTTGCCTGAGCACTTAGGTATAGCATGCTATAGCCTTAAGACAGCTTCCCGCCGGAAGAACTGACCAGTGGGAGAAATTGAAGCGGGGCAGGGGAACGCCTTGGCAATCATGGGATACACCCCCACCAATCTCACAAATGCTCCATCCCTTCGCCCCCCCCCCCCCAAACAAAAAAACATGCCCCCTTCTCCCCCTTCCCCCCCTCAAAACCCCACACATGGCCCACATAGACATATATATATATACATACATATACACATATATATATAGATATATATATATACAACAGTCGGCCCCCAAACCCGCTCGTGCCGCGAGTCCTTGATGGCTGCCAGTGCCTCCTGGACGATGCCCGGCCGAACCACCGAGGCCTTGCAAAAGGCCTCGGGCGGAGCAGCGGAACCATCCCAAGTAGCTTGGGTTTTGAGAAGGAAACGGATACATATTACTAGATACATATATTACTATATAATGTATAAAACATAACACTGAGAAAGTGTATGAATAGATTGAATAGATAAGCAAATGAAGATATTACACACCTATGCAAATAAAAAGTACTTGTAGACTGCAAGAACGTGTTTTGCCACCACGGACCTCCCCGAAAGACTGCTTTACAAGGATTTGGATGCTCTAAATCAACTGGTGAAATTTGTTCCCCTGCAGCGTGGAGCCCTTTCGGCTGTGGAGTGGAAAACCCCAATCCATAATTCACATCCTCCAGTTGGGAACAAAAACGACATATTTCCAGCAATGACAGATTCGCATTAAAACCAACAGGGGAAAATAATAACGAATGGAAGCCATTGGAAAACCAGGGGCACTTTCGTAACCCATGGATCTCAAAACCCGTGGCTGACGAGTCCGGGCGAAGGATCTGGTTCTTTGCAGCCGCCTCACTTGCTCCAAAAGACCTATAAGGGTGGTCATTGTTTGGTCATATAAGGCTTGGGAAGCCTGGCTACCAGGGGGGTTGGTGTCCAATCCACCTGCCCCCTGCAAACCGCAAACTTTATAGGAATCCCCTGCCTTCAAGTTGACATGTTCAGGTGGCTTGCCGGTCAGGGAGTGTGTTGGAAGAAAAGGAAGCGCGAGGCTATGCAGCCACAGTGTCTGCATCATCGTGCTCGCTCCAAGACGTTGCCTGCGCTTCGACTTCCCAGCTGGTGGAAGCAGTTTTTCCCCCTTGCTTCCCCCCCTCCACACAGGATGCCCCAAGTGCTGCCGTGACAACATGCCAGCTTCCCACCCCCACGTTGCACACTCCATACCTTGGAGTGGGGCCCCGTTCGTGCCAAGAGACACCTGCAGACATGTTTGCACGCCCCCCCAACCCCAGCCCTCACACAACACCAGCGGCATACCTTCCATGGCGGCATGAGTGGTTTCTCGATGTAGCCTTTCATGCAGAGACAGAAATGTGTATCCTCCCCGAACCTGGGAACATATCTAAGTTAAGCCTCAGACAGCCGATGTCCACCCCTCAGAGCGACACCCCTCAGAATATCAAACACCGGATGGCTGCGTCGACGTGTTCGATTCCCTCGCCTGGAGCTGCGGTTCACTCAGCAGCCGCCGGCGCTGCAAAATCGCCGCCAGCGCCGGGTCGGTGACCTGACGGCAGGGGCATGAGCCCCTCCCCAGGCGTCCAGGCAAGCCAGGACAGGTGGCAACCTGGATTTATGAGCTCTAGGTTTTTCGCACTGGTTTTACCATCTTTAGTAGGTAACCAAGGGAAACCAGGTTCAAATAACTTGCTGGCGCTCAGTAGGGATAGATTCTAGTACATAGGTGTCCTTTTTGGGAAAATAGATGGGGTTACCTGTAGTTGATTGAACCAGGTAATCCAGGAATCGCCCTCTATTTTTCAACCAAATCAACCAAAAAGGACACCTGTGTTCTAGTAGGTAACCAAGGGACACCAGGTTCAATTAGCTTGCTGGCACTCAGTAGGGAATGACCCGGGGCGTTGGGAATGAACCTAGGGATTCCCCAAAGGAAACCACAAGGGATGGTTTATGCGGGTCATTCTCTCACGCCCTGCTGAGAACCAGCAAACTGAGAAGTCTTTACCTACTACAGTGACTGGAAGCACTGGGCTTGAGGAACGTGCATCTATAGATGTAAGTCTGAAATGAGAGGCACCTCCATTTGGGGTTGCCTTCGGAGCCCTGGTGGTTAGTCTCAAAATTCGGGGGGGGGGGGACCCATTTGTGGTTGCCCTTTCAGCTGTTGCTTCCCCCAAACAGATCAACAGATCTAATTTGTTGATAATGGTCCATGTTTAGCAGCAAGCCCCATGAAAAATGAACAAACACATTCACAAGGCTGCTCTCAGGTGTCCCTTTTCCCCAAAGATGTCCAACCGGCCAACCCTGGGTATAGCAACTACCAAAGCACAAGCAAACTAACTCACTCGAATCAAGTTCGGTTTGTTCTCCTGGTGACACTGGTCATACCACCGTCGTACAAAGTGAATGGAACTTTATTGGCATGCAAATGGAACCCGCCTCCCGTGGATTGCATTTTGCAAGCGAGCCAGCAGAGTGCAAGGGCACGAAGGGCGCAAACTGCCAAAAAGTATAGCCCAAGGTCCTGCATACCAACATGAGTCCTCATAGGTACCGTGATGGAGGGGCCATCCAAGGTGCATACACCAAATACCATCCAAAGAGGTCCAAGTAGAATATCATTCTGAGGTGCTAGGCTGGGCTGTTCAAAGGAGACCATTGATGCCTCCCTTGCATCACACGCGTTTATGGGGAGAGCATTTTGGATTTGGCTGAAGCGACCCTCCGCTTTGAATCATTGAACAGCTCAGTGTTACTTGATGACGAGGACTGGAGATCTCTTTGCAACTGGCCTGCATCCTGTTTGAGTCACGCGCGATTTGCCTTCCCGACACGTATAGGTTTGCACATTGCCCAGAAAGGGGCCTTTGCTGGGGGGCCTCGGCAACTCCGCAGGTAGCAAGAAAAACTCAACGAGGTCAATCCACATGTGTTCTTATCTAGGTCCTCCAGTAGAGAGCTTAGAATAAGGCTACCCTTTTTTCCAGTCTATTTTAGTAGGGGAACCCTCCCAACCAAAAAAGGGGTGAGAAAGAACACTACTGGCCCAGTTGGAGGACCACGAATTCAACAATGCAGCCTGACTGTGGCTCCCAGCCCCTGATTTACTATGCGTTGCTGTATCTTCACAGGGGTGGAAGCCCCTGGTTCCCACAACCCTGCTACTGGGGGACCTAGTTGTTCATCACCACGAGGTCAAGGGCAAAATCTTCTATGACGATGGTCACGCTGACGGGGAGGCCCTGGAACCCTGGGGCCCTGGCTGTCGTCATGACGCCAGTCCTGCTCGACCGAAGTCTCCAGTTTGGCGTTGTTTGCCTCCAGAAACGTTGGGGTTTTGTTGATCCCTTGCAAAAACTACCCACTCGACTTGGTGGTGCGTTCCCTCGCTTGAACATGCTAAAAACTACATCTGTTGGTGGGGTATGTCACTAATCCATCTAAAGCGTTACCAATTCAAATATCTAAGGATATCCAAGAGTCTAGCTGGGAACCGCCAAGTCAACTGATCTTCCCAGGCAATTTCTATCCCAAACCTGAAGTAAGAAGTGGGCCCCATGTACTTGGTTGCTCTTGACCCCCTGCAAAAAGTTTAACTCTTTTTTTTTTTGGAGGGGGGGGTTAGTGGACAACGCAATTATTTCCCAAAAAGTTGAAGTCTAAAGATCCAACCCAATAGCAGTCAAGTGTAACGGACCTTCATGGAGAGCTCGTTCTATTAGCTGAGCTCAAAGTAGAGCAGTCAGCTAACGGGAGCACCCCCTGCCTGATCTTGGCGAAAAGCCCAAACAAATCCGTACCAAATAGTCGAAAAAGCATTTGCCCCCCCCCCCCCGAAAATAGTCTAACTAGTAGAGAATTAAGGTATCCTTGGTCCTTGGCTTGCGTGGGAGCAGTCCAAGCTGGTCCTCAGCTTAATGTGAAACAAAGGGTTGCTGTTTCGTGGCACTGGGGGCAGGTGTTCCCCCCCCCCCACAGTAACATGGAACCCAAAAACCCATCGTGACCCCCACCCCGCCCCCAGGCAGGTTCCATGTAAAAATTGTACAATTTATACCCCGAAAAGGCTGGGCTCGGGCTGCTTAACATGCCTGATCCATCCCTGGAAAATGACTGGAAAGGTGAGACCCAATCCCTCCGGCCAAGACAATAATTTTCTGGATTGGTCACCCCTGTGCATTAACGTGGAACCTGACGCTTCGGGGACCTGGAAGACAACGCTCGTTTAAAAGGGACCCTTTGGTGTTGTGGGGGCAAACCAAAGAGTCAGTAGTTGAGCTATCAAGGTAAGCCCTGTTGGCATGTGAGGAATGAGCTCACTAGGCCTGTTTGCTGTCCGATTATCTTTGCCTTCTTTGGGCAGCGATTTCAATCATCGGCGGCTCCTTGGCTGCCCCGATATCCGTGGCCTAAGAACCAAACGATGCGAACCCTCGCCGTCTTCTTCGTTTTTCACACGCGGCTCACAGTCCACAGCCCCCACTTGGCCGCCTGGTAGAAAAGGGGCAAAAACCCAGTAACCCGATGTTTAGTTAAAAACCCAGCAACTCACCAAGTTAAAAACATCGGTTTAGACGACATATATCCGATTTTGCAGCCAAACCCTTCAGCGGACACGCGCAAACCCCCGAACTTCAAACCGCGCCTCAAGCGAAGGTTGGCATCACGGCGGGCTGGCACCGTGCGCCGTCCGGGCGCCGGAGACAGTGCCGAATCGCCGAATCGAGTCACGAGTCGGCGTGAGTGGCCAGCGCGTGTGGGGAGCACCGTGTGGCCTTTGGTCTGTCTGGTGTTTCTTTGTGGGATTTCTTTTGCAGCTGCTCATTTGCATCTTGCGATCCGGCTCGATGTCCTGCATTGAACATGTTTGCCTCCTCAGCTTGTAGGAGCCAGCCACATGACAAAAGGTTGAGCGCATCCCCAAAAAGGATCAAAAAGGATGGTGAGCCCGTGTCGTGCAGGGCAAGGAAAAAGGGCACAGCACACCCCCAAATGGTTGGAAACGGGTGCTGCAAAAAAATATGAAGCCAAACAATATGCGCCTGTGGTTCCTCAAAACAAAAACCAAACCAGGGGGTCCATTTTGAGAAAACCAAAGCACTCCAACGCCAAGGAAGCTCTACAAGCAGCGACGGGGGGAAAAAATACGCTCCGCACCAAGTTTCGTGAAAGCGAGTCATTGCACCTTCCTCGTCGTCGGACATGAGGGATCTGGGGGCTAAAATGACGCAAACACCATCGGATCCCCATGGAAGCGAACTTTCACCGTGGGTGAGGTCTCTGATCTACTCCACTTCCCCAATGGCAGTCGGTCGGTTTTTTTTCTTCGCGGTCTCGTCTGGAGCTTGCGGTCTCGGGCCCAGGCTGACTGTGCCGAAGCCCTTGTTCTGAATCTGTGGCTACCTCTGAAACGGTTCTCGCTTCCTGAGTGGATGGGCCAACAAAAAGAAACCAAACTGTTTGTTTGCTGAAATGGACCAGACCCAAACCAGAAACTCAGGGAGTGAGTGTTCAAACTAGTTCAGTATTCGCACAAGTCGAAACGTTGGCTTTTGGCCCTGACAGCCAAGCCCTAAAAGGCTAGGCGCAAGGCCGATTTGGGTCCAAACTGGCCTCTTACCTGCCATGTTTGTCCGGATGACTTGCAACAAGCCTGGGGTGAACGACGATTTCAGTGGGGAGGTGTTCCAACACAGCTCCATGCGTCATGGCTTGAGCTTCCGATCTGGCCTGACTGGGTCCGAGGTTTCCCACCCGCAGAACTACGTCATCTTGAGAAGCCCCGACATGCAAGCACCCTTCTTGGACCCCAGCTATAGTGAGTAGCAACCAGTTCGCATACGCAACCAGTACAGAGTTGAGACTTCAAACCGGAAATGAGTGGGGCGCAATTAGGGTCCATGTGCTAACTGATTCTTACAACAGAATGCAGAACGATTGAAGCAAGGGGTATGCCTTGTTGAAGAAGCTGAAAGCAAGAATCACAAGCAAAGGACACTTGCAATTAAAAGGAAACGAAGCAACACTGTGGAAAAAACAAACAACTTTCACTAACATCTGAAGGCACAAGTCTGCCTTTCTCACCAGAATCGGCCTTGCCCCATCTGCAAACGAGCCGCTACGGTTCGGAACGCACCACGTCTTCGACTTGGAACTCGGAGCTCGGAGCTCGGGGCTCAGAACTCGCCGAGCTGCTCCGCCGAGCGGCTGGTGCACCAGAAGGTGAAGCAGTTGCCTCCAACAAAAACCAAAGACCAAAAAGAATCAAACGAGAAACAACTGCAAAAACAACACCCCCACCCTCCCCCCTCCGCCTCCCCCAAAAAAAAAGAAAGAAAAAGCCTCAAAGTCTCAAAGTGTCTCAAAGCAGGGGCCGGGGTACGTGTTTTTTTTTTTTTTTTTTTTTTTTTTTTTTAATTGTATGTAGCCTCCATTAAATCAGCATTGCATTTTGGGGAGCAGCCTTGCACCTTGAGGGGAACACAACCATTGGACCAAAACGGGTGCTGGTAGGAACAAGCCCCAAACATGGCTGGCACCGGTTGAACAAAAAGGAATCAAACAAACCAGGGGAAGCCAACAGTGTATCGAACATAAACAACAAAAGCAAAAAACAGCATCTCAGGGATAACAGCTGATACAGACCATTTGGATGGATGGATGGATGGATGGATGGATGGATGGACGGACGGATGGATGGATGGATGCATGGATGGCCAAGAACCAAAATATGCATCTGCCTGACACGCAAATTCCAGTTGCCTGACTGAAGTTCCCCACATCAAAAGTGGATCAATCTGGCGGTTTCCACGGAGAAACAATCGCATCACTTTTCGTTTTCCCCTTTAAAGGGAAATGGCTCAACATGGTACAACCAGATGTTCTTCCCGCTCAAATTTCTCCGAGATGCTGTGCCAGCCTTTGTCCCAGGGATTCCGCGTACCTCAGACATGGCGATTGAACGCATGGCGTCCTTCGCCCAAACGGATCCCACCCCCTACAAAACAATGTGAACGTTTGGAAAGGGGAAATGAAGGACGCGCAAAACAGGGGCAAGAGCAGAAGGGTCACTTGAGCTCTGGCAATCAAACGGTCTAGACTTTTTTTGCGATGCGCAGAGCCACCGTATGAAAAATGGCACCAAGACAGGAGCACGCAATACGGTCTAGACTTGGCCCTTCAAAATGGAGGCTTGGCCAATCCGAATCCCAAATCCCATTTGGCGTCAGAAAAAACGCCTCAGGCCGAAGGACCACGACGAAAAACAAAGATCAAAGCTGGGCACAGCTCCAAAGATTGACTCGCGCTAGATACCCGGGTTTTTTTGTGTCAAACCAAACTCAAACCGAACCCAGCTTCTCAAGAAATCCAGAGACATGGAACTGATAGATCAGTGCTTTGGGGCTAGTATGTACTTGAGCGCAAAACCAAACCATGGGTTGCGTCAGTATGCTTGGTTTCAACGGCTTTCGGTGAGGGGAAGTGCTGCCCACTTCAAAGCCTTCCGTGAGCCGAACCTTACTTCACTGCAGATTAACATGGAACTCCAAAACGGGGCCCTTTCTCCTAAGCACACCGGCCTCGGGGCTCGAACAGAACCTGCAGAAGTGTACCCTCACAAAAGTGGACCCTCCAAGCACACCCCTTCACACTTGATCCAACCTGCAGGGGTGTACCCTGAAACAAGTGGGCCCTCAAATGCCCTCAAAAGACACTCCACATTTCATCCAGCTTCTTTGCCCACAAGCACAGACTCGTTCCATTTGCTCTCACCCCCTGGAGGAGAAAAACAAAAAAAAAGCGCAAATCCAGCAGTGACAGATTCCAACGTTCAAACCCACAAGGGAAAATGATTGCAAAAAGAAACTCAAGGGATTTGTTTATTTATTTTTAAAGCTCCCAGCAACTGGAAGACTCAGGAGTCGAATTTTCCCCGAGACAGGCCAGGGGCTGTCGTAGGTGAAGAGGTCCTGGTCGAAGGCCTCGTTGTAATCCTCCGCCTCGAGCTCCTTCACCGGAGTTGACCTCAGCGCGCCGCTTTTTTTGGTGGGGAGTTGATCGAAATTTCTTTTGGGGGAATATTCCCCTCTTGAGTTGACCATGGGTAACATGTTCTATGTGGTTAAAGAATATGTTTCTCAGAGTTCACCATGGGTAACTTTTTCTATGTGGTTGAAACATCATTTTCTTTAAGTGGCTTTCCAACTGATGGTGATCGAATGCTCACCGGACCCTTTTGATCAACCCCATGTCACCAGGCCCATGGCGTGAAGATGGTTTCCCACTCCCCGAAACCACCGGCCCAGCAATCGGGAGAGTTTAAGGGGGGAGAGACCGTCTCCAATAAGAAGGCATGTGAAGCATCGGTTCAAACAGAAGAAAGCTTGCGAGTTCGCCTCGTGTGACACTTCAGCCAAGCTGGGTGCTTGGATTATGGGAAGCATCATTCATCATAAGTCATTCGTACTTGTGCTGTCCATTTCGGTCCGGGCAAGCAACCTATCAGGAGGACATATCTTTTGGCTGTTTCCAAACAAAGGCACCCAACACCCCATCCGTGTTTGGCCCTTGGGGGAAGCAAGAGGTCAAAAATACCAGCAGACACCACCAACAAACGTGATGCACAGGAACCCTCCTTGAACAGGAAAATCGTTGTCGAAAAACAGGGCTGGCACGAGGGTAGAAAGCTAGTCCACAATGAGGGAAAACCAAACTACACTTGGGTGTTGGTCATCCTTTAGACCATCATTTAGGCCATCCTTTAAAAGCGGCTCGGAGATCACACTCTAGCCAAACGCAAGGGCTGATGCCTAGCTTTTTTGCTTGGGAAGGAAATCCTGGTAACCAGAGCCAAACATGAATGCGAGCCACTGCTAAGCCAAGTTTCAATGACATAAGCGTGTCTCAAAATAGCGGGAAAGCCAAAATTGTTGGTTTCGCTTGATCGCTTGAACACTTTGATGCCAATATTGGCAGCCTCAAAAGCGACACACCCACATGTGAACAAGCAAAACTTTTGAAGTCCAAGGGTCTCACCCGGTGACTTCTAACCTTGGCCAACCTCCAGAGCAATTGCCCTAGCAATTCACATGGAACCTGTCTTCGGGGTCCCTTTAAAAGAAAATTGGTCTTCCAGGACCCCCCCAACCTCAGGTTCCATGTCAGTTGGTGGGAGTGAAATTGCACCAAACAACTGTAACTCCGATTCTGCTTCATATTGGCTGCGGAGGCCCTCACACCGGCTCCAATCAATGGCTGAGCACCGACCAGTATCCTTGTCGACGAGTACCCAAAACTCCTCGGCAAAAGTGTCATTGGCACAGCTTTGGACGCCGTTGCCCCCTTTCAAAACTGGGCGCTAGATGGGGGGGGAACAATCAATCCATCCCGAACGCCGACCAACCTGCTTGGAAAGGCCCAACTACACAACGATGGCAAACAAAGCTTCCCAGGAACTGGTATGTCAGCATTGTTAATAAACGTTGTTCTTTGCAGCACAAGGTTATCCAACAAGCGATGGTAACACCGAACTGCAGAGCACAACTAAACGATTGATCACAACCAAAGACAAAAACAAAACACACAGACACAGACACAAACACAAACATGGACACACCACATCAAACGACACCACAAACAGCAGACCGCAACACAACACCACACACACACATACATGTTGATTTTCCACACACACACACACACACATCCGCGGGCGCTTGGAACACACATATATCAATATATATGTATG